CTGCTTTGACTCTGTCTCTTTACTTCTCAATTCCCTGTCACCTTCTCCTGGACCTGACCGATCTAGCCGCGCTGGTCGAGGCATCCTGTATCACCATTTGCTGACCCGTGACTTGATTCTCCCACAGTTTTCCTTTTCCTTTCCTGGTGTCGTGTGACTGCCACTTGGTGCTACTACATCATTTTCACATTGTATGTTGCTGTTAATGTGTCGTTGGATAGCAATGAGTTGGCCCTTCGGTACCAACAAGAGCATGTGTTAATGGCCCCACGATACTGAAACTGTGTTTATAAGAAGATCATACGCATGATCCAGAGCTGTACTGTCCACTAGGGCAGCCACTAGTCAAATGTGTCTACTGAATACTTGAAATGTAACTAGTCCAAATTGAGCTGTAGATTTAATTCACGTCATATGTTGATGACTTAGAATGAAAAAAGTAAAATATCTCATTTAAAAAATTTAAACTGAGTCCTTGTTAAAAATCACATTATTTTGGATATACAGTATTAGACTAAATAAAATATATTATCAAGATTAACTTCATCGGGGATTTTGGGTTTTGTTTATTCTTGTTTTTAAAAAGCATATGTAGCCCTGGCTGGTATAGCTCAATGGATTGAGTGCGGGCCTGTAAAAAGCATATGTACTAGAAAAATTTAAATTATACATTATATTTCTATTAGATCACACAGCCTGAAATAATTGTATGTGAGAGGAATTATGTATTACAAACTGAAAACACCACATAAAAATTTCTCATAGAAAACACTTAGGTATCCAAGACACATAGATTTGGTTTCTAGTGTAAACCACTGCTCTAGCATTTAATGGCTACATCCTTTCTTCTAAGCCAAGGGTACCAAACCAACACAGGACTTTCCCTGTGGCTCTAACTTCAGTATCTTAGTGATATAATATCTCTATATTTCCCAGATGGTTTTCCCACATGGCTTCCTGTGAAAGTCTTTGGGGCAGTATCTAGGCACTTTCCATCTCTCCCAAAAATATGTACTGCTGTGTCTGGTCATTTCACTGCCATATGATGAAAGATTGTTCTCACCTGGGGAAACTCAAGGGGCAGGAGTGGGGGTGGGGGAGAGAGAGAGAGAGGGAGAGAGAGAGAGAGAGAGAGAGAGAGAGAGAGAAAGTATTCTCTGGGGAAACAGATACAACTACTTCCCAAGATACTCGAAACTTTTGAAATCAAGAGACTGCATCAGTTTTAAAAAATTGGTGTAAAATAACATTTAGCCAAATATCCAACTGCAATCATTTAGCGAATATTTGCTGAATATCCACTCTGATATAAGACAGCATAGCAGGCACATGTAAAAAAACAGAGATAAACAGTCAGGGGGTTCTCTCAGGACGTTGGTTACCACCTAGAGGTGGTAACACATGTCAAAATGTCTTTCTTTTTAAATAGCAAATGTTGATTGAGTGTCTCTATGTTCTAAGAACTAAGTGAGTTCTTTACCTTTCACTTAATCCTCACAACCCTGTGAGATTGCCCACCCCACTTTACAGAGGAGAAAACTGAAGCAAAAGGTTATGAAAATAATCAAGGTCATATGGTTATTGAATAGCACCAGCAGGGTTCAGTCCAAACTGTCACCTCTAAAATATAAGCTTTTTAGTCACTATTCTATCTTGCTTCTCTTAAAAAAAAAAGTGTTTGAAAATAATATGAGTATCTGCTTACTAGAGAAAAAATGGAATATTTAGAAAAGTAGAAGAGAACATAAACCCTCAAATTTCTACCTCCTAACACAACAACTGTTTAGTATATAAGTACTACTTTTAAAAAATTTGAACTGTAATTATACATTGTAAGAAGGATATAGAAAAGGGGCTACAAGAGGTCAGAGGAAAGAAAGAGGATTTCTGGCTGGACCTTGAAAAACAGAATGTGATGTGGAGGTTGAGGCACTCCAGGCAGAAAGAGTTGGAAGAACAGGCGTGTGGACCCAGGAAGGTCCAGGGGAAACAGCGAGGCACTGTTTGTCCAGAATACTGTCTTGAGCAACGAAGCTAGAAATCCAGAAAATTAAAGGTCAAGTCATAAAAAGTCAAGAATTGCTCCACTTTTTAGCTTATCAGTACTGGTAATATTGTACTAATTACCACTTATTTCTGTATCAATCTCCTCTGTTAGACTCAGACCTCCAGTCTATACCGCTGTTTATTCAATGAGCATTTATTGAGTAGTATCTGTGCACCAGGCTTGGTGCACTATGCTGAGCACTGGGCATATCTATACCTCTGCCCCCCAAAGAAATTTTACACTCTAGTGGGAGAGAAAATGTAAGATAGGTCTGATGGAAATATGAACAGTGTAGATTTCCGTCATTTGCCACCAAAAATATCTAGCTAAAGTAGACTATTACCACAGATTCAGCTATGGTCTCCCCTTCTCTGTATCCCCACGGCCGTCATTTAGAAGCCAGATGATGGGGAGTGACAAAGAGGCTCATGAAGAAATGAAATCACTGTCATCAAATGGGGAATCTGGTAGGATGGGCCAGAGAAAACTAAATGGTAAGTAAAATAATGACTAAAATATGCTCGTGGGATTTATAAACTAAGACACTAGAGAGCTGGTGAGAAAAGATTTTTGTGGGAGGGTGAGTAGGGTGCAGAATCTGGACTTACGGATGCTGAAGAACAAAGGGACAGTGATGTTATGGAGACTGAATAAAACCTGTTATTGGACCAAAAGCCCTTTTGAGTTGTTGAATGGTTCTTTTGCGGTCCTCAGTTAACTTGAAAGTAGAATAAAAATAAATTAGTTTCAAATAGCCAATAAACACATGAAAAGATTATCAGCATCAGCCAACAAGGAAATGCAAATTGAAATCACAATGAGATACCACTTCATACCCACTAGGATGACTATAATCAAAAAGATAATATCAAATATTATTGACAATGTGAAAACATAAAAATCCTCAGACATTTGCCAGTGGGAATATAAAATGCTACAGGTGATTTGGAAAACAGTCTGACAGTTCCTCAAAAAGTTAAACGCAGTTACAATATAAGTGTGGCGAGGGAAAAATATTTTCCTTCTACCTTTCTAAATTCTTTTCTGACAGGACTAATAATCTAATTAACATGAAACAGAGTGACAGGATAAAATGATAAAATTTAATATGTATGCACATATGGGGGTTTCTTAAGAATATAGGACTGGGCCCTGGCTGGTGTGGCTCAGTGGAGCACTGGACTGCAAAGCAAAGGGTCACTGGTTTGGTTCCCAGTCAGGGCACATGCCTGGCTTGCAGTCCAGGTCCCTGGTTGTGGGCACACAAAAGGCAACCACACATTAATGTTTCTCTCCCTCTCTTCTCCCTCCTTTCCCCTCTGTCTGATAATGAACAAATAAAGTCTTAAAAAAAAGAATATAGGACTGATGGACAGATCGGCAGTTAAGGCTTATATGCTCTCTTGAGGGCAAACGGGGTGTGATGAAAAAGCAAATGGGTGGTAAATAAATGTAACAATGGGACACAGAGAGGAATTTAATCAGAGGGTCTTACTAGGTTCCTCCCTGTCATATTTAATTCATATTAAACTATAGTTATGTGTAGTAATGATAGGGAACTCAAGAGCTGGAAAATTTTAGTTTAAGGTAAATAGTTATAAACCTAGTAGGTAATGCATATGTTAAAGCTATTTTTCCAGGCAGTTTTCAGTATGATCCACTTTGACTCCAGAAGACCATTAGCAGTTCCACCTTTGTGCCTCGGGAGGACTGCAAGCAATTCAAGATGGTATCTGAGCCGTTGTGCTCCAGAGTGAGATGACCACCACCCAGGGCAAGAATACTGCAGGGTTTTTTTTTTTAATCTAATTAATTTTTCTCTGAATTCCAAACCTCTTACTTACACTTCGTTCTCCTTATAAAAGGGCCATTTTCAAATGGAACTTAAGCCGGCTCTTTGGGGTATGAAACCTCCATCTTCTCAGATTGCCGGCCATCTGAATAAAGTGCCAATAAAGATTCAATCCTTGTCTCTGCTTATTGGGTTTGGTTTGTGACAGGCAGCAGGAACGCCAGTTTGTTTGGGTTTTTTTTTTCTGGTTTCAGTAATAGCTCACTTTCTGGAGCAGGTCCTCTATCTAACTTCTTTTAGGGGCAATTAGGGTGAAGGTTAAAGGTTCTTTCTGGGTCTTTTGTTTCTTGAAAATAACCAGGTAAAAAAAATCAGTATTGTGAAAGGAATATTTTGGGGTGGCAATCTCTGCTTCCCCTTGTGAACCAGCCACTCTTATACAAGTATACTCAAGAGAAATAAACACATTTGTTCACATAAAAACCCATACAGGAATGTTCCTAGTAACATTATTCATCATAGTTAAAAAGTAGAAAAGGAAATGTCCAAAAGTACATGGATGGATAAACAAAGTAAGGTATATTCATACAATGAAATATTATTCATCTATACAGAAGCATTAAGTACTGACATATGCTACAACATAAATGAATCTTGGAAACATTACATGTAATGCCACTTATATCAAATGCCCAGATTAGGCAAATACTTATAAAGAGAAGTATTGCTGCCTGGTGTTGAAAACAGGGAGGACTGCTAAAGGGTACCGCTTTTTTTGTGTGACGAAAATACTCTTAAAATTGAATAGTGATGGCTGCACAGTTCTGTGAAAAACACCATTGAAGCGTACATTTTAAAAGGGTGACTTTCATGCTATGTGAATTACATCTCAATTTTAAAATCAAATTAAATTTTCTAAAATTGCGGCATTCATAGAGGTCTCTTGCCACCCAGGTAACGCACGCCTAGAGCAACACGCTGGAACAAAATACTTGGCCAGACACTCCAGGGGGCCTAGAACCGCAATCCGACCCCGCCTCCCAGGGAAGGAAGTCCCGGCCTGCAGGATGATGATTGGGTGAGCTGTAAACGAGGGTGGGGCTAAAAGGGGCCAGCCGTTTACCCTTAGGCTGGGGGGCTGGGTAGGGCAAAGGGAAGCTTCTCTCGCGAGATTGTGCTGGTTCCGCATTTCGGTTTTGCTAGGCTGGGGGAGGCGAACAAGGTGGGCTCGGCTTTTTGCGTCGGTTATAGCCTCTCGACCCTGGCTCGGAGCAACGGCGGCTGTTGGCGCGTTGAGAACCGAACGCTACCTCACTGTTCCCGTGTGGGCTCGGAAACCTAACTGCGGCAGGGGCCAGCGGCCCCTCCCCTCCTGCCTGAGGATAGAAGATGAGCTTCCTCTTGTGAGTGCAGTCGGGCCGAGGGGTTCAGGGCTCAGCTCTGAGGGCGGAGGGCGGGGAGGGGCGAGCCGACGGCTGAGGCTAGGGTCAGCCCTGGGGTTGAATAGGGTGGCTTTAGTTTTGCCCCGGTTTGCGGCTACGGGGGAGGATAGGATGTGGGCCGAGGTAGATGGAGATGAAAAGTCGACGCAAAGGAAATGGAGCGAGAAGTCGACGCAAAGGAAACAGCGAGAAGGCCCCGAGGGCCGTAGCGCCTCCAAACTTTCCGCCCCAACTCCCCCGAGGGCGCAGGGGCTACCTGGGGGCGCGGCCAGGGCCTTCCAGTTTCTCTCCAGGCTGGAGCCTTCATGTAATGATTCCTGCTGGCTTAGCTTTTTACTGCACCGTTTGCCCAGTTTTAATTATCGTCAGTACTGTTACCCCCGCGGAAAAATGCCGCCGCAGGAAAACGTGGAGTGCTGCAGTTTGAGAAGCATTGCTCTAGCACCTTATTTAGTATTCTCAGATAGCGATGTTCACGTAGTATACTACTTAAATATATGTTGTGTGATTATATATATAATGTATTAAATACATTTTCAGTTACGGACATTACCCACACACTTGACATTTTTATTAATTTAAAATTACATAGTGTTTCATAACTAGAGTTAATCTAGTCCCTTATTGTGAGAAATCTGAATTCTTTGCTACTTACAAATTTAAATTAGTACTACTGAGAATATCTTTATCCAAATCGCTTTTTCCCTCCTTTTTTTTTAGGGTATAAGCTCCAAAGTATGATTACCGTGTCAGAAAGTCTGTATGGTTTATGTTTTAATTGCAAATAGCTATTTTGCTAGAACCATCTCTCCCATCCTTCAAGTCTTTTTATGAGTTAATGTTTATTTAGCGGTTTGTGTATGCACGTTGTTTAGTTGGTCTTTGAACGTAAATGTGAGAGGCTGTGTATTTCTTCTGAACTTTGTTTTGCTGATGGATATTTGACTTTACACTTTTTGGTTTTATGAATAATGCTGCTCTGAACTTTTATGTAGTACAAATTTTTTGTGTTGAATGTATGTGTTCATTTCTCTTGGGTATTATGCGTAGGAGTGGAATTACTCAGTTACATGGAAACCATGTTTAATCTTTTGAGGGAATTGCCAAACTTTTCAAAGCACTGGACCATTTTGCTTTCCCACTAGCGTTGAATGAATTTCATTTTCCCTACACTCTCACTAGCCCTTGTTGTCTTTTGGATTATAACCATCTTAAGTGGATGTAAAATGGTAGTTGATGTCAGTTCTCATTTTCCTAATAACTAAGAAGGTGGAGCATCCTTTCGTGCGTGTACTTATTGGCTATTTGTATATATGTATTTTTTGGAGTAATGTCTATGTCAATCTTCTGACCATTAAAAAAATTTGTTTTTAATTATAATTCACAGCCTTTGGCCATTTTTAATTCAGATTATTTCTCTTTATGTTTTTGAGTTGTAATAATTCTTTATCCCTGATATAAGTCACTGTCACATCTATGATTTACAAATATTTTCTCCCATTTTGTGGATTGTTTTCACTGTCTTGATGGTGTCATTTGAACACAAGTCTTAATTTAGACGAAGATCATATTTGAATATTGAGCCATCATTTCATCTTTTCCATATTTAACTTCCTGTCATTCACAGTTTTCTATCTGTAAAAGGCTATTCTTTGTTATTTAGTATTTCTCATTTAAATGTAGGTATTTGCCACGTCAAAAATTGCCCATATTTGATTTTACTTTTTAATCAGTCTTACTTAAAATTCAAATTACGGAGGTAAAGTAAAAGCCCCCAGTTCTATTCTTTTTCTTTTTTTAGAAGTAATCACCAGTATCAGTTTGATGTGTATCCTTTCTTAATACTTTGTGTATTTATAAAATGGGCTCCTAAAGGTGAAGGGATTAAGAAGTACAGTTGTAGTTACAGGATAATTATGGGGATGTAAAGCATAGGGAATAGAGTAGCCAAAGAACATATATGTATGACCCATAGACATGGACAAGGGGTGTGGGGATTGCCTGAGGGAGGGGGGACTAGTTGGAGTGGGGGAAAGGGGGAAAAAACTAGGATAACTGTAATAGTATAAACAAAATACAGAAATGAGCTCCTGCTATCCATTTGGTTTTGTTTTAACCATGTCTTGAGATCTTCTCATGTAAACACATGTAGCTCTATCTTGTTCTTGTATCTTGTTTATCTTAACTACAATACTCCGGTTTGTGGATATATCATAATTTATTTAATCATTCTTTCAGTAAGCCTTAGGATTGTTTCTAGATTTTTCATTATTAAAAATGATCTTGGATGGGGGGCTAGGATGGGAGTAAAAGGTAGAAAACTGTACTTGAACAACATTTAAAATGTTTAAAAAAGAAATAAAAAGAATGCAGAATGTTATGACAGGAATGCATTCCCATAAAAAAAGGAGATAGTACGTTGTAAGGTAAACCATTTTCTTAGTAATGATACTGAAGTCATAAAAATACAATTGTCCTCCTAAATAAAAAGTTTATTTTTAAAAAATAACCTTGGAAAACACATCCTTACCTGTATGTAACAGATACTCAGAAGTGGAAGGGGTAGATGGAGGAACATTTTGGTATTAAGGTAACCGCCATATTGCCCTCTCAGAAACACTTTCACCTTCACCACACCTAATGTTAATTGTTTTAACTTTTGACACTCAGTTTAGGGAAGAATATATCTTACTTTAGTTAAACAGCTTTTCAGATGTTCATTAATCATTGTATTTTTCCTTCCGTATTGCCTATTTATCTCCTTAGCCTGTATAGAAGAAGCCCATTATTATCCAGTTTATCCTTTGTAATATATGTTGCAAGTACTTTTTTTTACTTGTCTTTTTGCTCTGTTACTGAAAGTTTCTTTTATTTTTTTAAAAGATTTTATTTATTTTACTTTTAGAGAGAGGGGAAGGGAAGGAGAAAGACAGGGAGAGAAACATCAGTGTGCAAGAGGTACATCAATCAGTCGCCTCCAATTGGAGACCTGGCCTGCAACCCAGGCATGTGCCCTGACTGGGAATTACACCAGTGACCTGTAGGTTTGCAGGTGGTAGTTAATCCACTGAGCCACACCAGTGAGGGCTGTTACTGAAGTTTTAATCGTTGTGAGTTGAAGTCCATCTATTTAAGGTTTCTGGTTTTTGTGACATGTTAAGAAGACTCCTTGTGGATGGTGTATAAAGAGAGGAATAAAGTTTTTTTCCCCAATAACCAGTTGTCTCTCATTTATTTTTCCTGTTAAAAGCCTCAAAAAAAAAGTCACTTTTGCTGTGGTTTGCTTTGATGGCATCCTAGATGTTTTGATATAGATGCTGTTTTTTTGAGCTATTGGATGGAACCTTAGGGCTACTTCCCTCCCAGCACCATTTTGTGTAGGTGGAAATTGAGGGCAGAAGGTTAGGTTTCTCAAGCAATCAAGAGATAATGGCAAGGCCCTAGCTGGTGTAGCTCAGTGGATTGAGCGCGGACCTGCGAACCAGACAATTGCAGTTCGATTCCCAGTCAGGGCACATGCCTGGGTTGCAGACCAGTTCCCTGCAGGCCAGTTCCCAGCAGGGGACGCATGAAAAGGCAACCATACATTGGTTTCTCTCCCTCTCTCCTTCCCTCCCCCTCTAAAGATAAATAAAATATTAAAAAAAAGAGAGAGATAATGGCAGATCAGGGACTAAAATCTAGGGGTTGTTTTTTCTTTTGGTTCAAGGGCCCTTTTTATTATCCCAGACTGCTACATGAGGAAAGAAATTTAAAGCATTCTTTTTATTGTGATCATCACCACCCCCCACTTCCCCCCTTCCCCCTGCAAATCCTGGCACTTTTCAGGGAATATGTTTTACTTTACAGGGCAGTTTATGTTATGCCATTAATTATTCCATTTTGCTTCTGGTCCTAAAATTGATGTTTTTTCTTTTAACATAACAGTAGCAGCCGCTCTTCTAAAACATTCAAACCAAAGAAGAATATTCCTGAAGGGTCTCATCAGTATGAACTCTTAAAACATGCAGAAGCAACTCTAGGAAGTGGAAATCTGAGACAAGCTGTTATGTTGCCAGAGGGAGAGGATCTCAATGAATGGATTGCTGTTAACAGTAAGTTTTTAGTAACATTAAGCTTTTCTGGTTTATAGGAAGGTTTTGCTAAAATCTTTCTTAATGAATTTCATTTTGCAGGTATGTAAGGGTTATAATATAATAGATTATCTATCTATAAAGAAACACTAAGCTCTTGGTTATAGCTTTTGTGGTTGAGCAGAGAGACCTAAGGAGAAATGATAAGTGTTATAGGGTAATTTCTGGAGAGAATGGAGCTGAGTAAGGTCAGCTCCATTTATCAAATAAAAGATTGTTAAATGCAAAGAATCTACCTGTGATGGAACATGACTTTGTTAGGGAATCCATCTATATAGTTGTGCTTCTGCTCCCAGAAGCTCTCAATCTGCCTATCACGTAGAAAGAAAAGTCCACCACGGTCACTTATTTGTTGTGATTTAAGAGTTGTCGTAGGAAATTGAGAGATTGGAAGAAAATGGTGGGAAACCATGAGTTGAAAGTCACTCTTGAGTTCAAGAAAGTGAAGAGGGCAAGGCATAGAAGAATATGCTGAGGCTAGAGATTTGAATATTCAGAGTGTATCATTTCTGGTCCTGACATAATAGCTCAGTTGCTTAGAGTATCATCATCATCAGATACACACCAAGGTTGTGGGTTCAGTCTCAGGTCAGAGTACCTACAAGAAGCAACCAGTGAATGCATAAATAAGTGGAATAACAAACAAATTGATACTTCTCCCCACCCCCACCCCCTCCTCATCTCACTCCCTCCTCTCACCCCCTCCTTCTTCTCTCTTTCTCTAAAACCAATAAAAAAAAAAAACAGGTGGTTTTTTTTTTAAACCTTAAAAAAAGAAGCCCTGGCTGTTATGGTTCAGTGGATTGAGTGCCAGCCCGCACACCAAAAAAAGGTTGCTGGTTTGATTCCCAGTCAGGGCACGTGCCTGGGTTGCGGTTCAGGTCCCCAGTTGGAGGCATGCAAGAGGCAACAGATCAGGGTGTCTCTTGCACATCGATGTTTCTCTCCCTCTCCTTGTCCCTCCCTTCCCCTTTCTCTAAAAGTAAATACATAAAATCGTTAAAAAATCTTTTAAAAAAGTAAGATACAAGTGTAATTAAAAATTTTCTAGTAGCCACATTAAGAAAAATTTATTTTTTCAACTCATTAAAAAGCCATTATTCATGTCACTAAAAAAAACAAAGTGCAGAAGTGCACAACACTACTTTCTGTGTAAGACAGGACGAAGAAACTTAGAGGGCAGGGTACAGAAAAAAATTAATAGAGTAACCTGTGTGTGTGGGGGGATTTGTAGTAGTTGGAATTTAGATATTTTCACTGTATATTTCTTTATTTCTTGATATGTGAGCATGTGGACTATTACATATTAGAAAAGATCCCCTCTTTTTAAAACCTTATTCACATTACCATCTTTTATTTTAAAGGTGTTCATTGGCCTTCTTCAGCCTTAGATTTTTCTCTGCGACTTAGTGTTCTAGATGAGCTGTTTTCAGTCCTTTTGGTTTCAGGATCCCCTTGTTCTTCAGAAATTATTGAGAACCCCAGCCCTGGCTGGTGCTGCTCAGTGGGTTGAGCACCAGCCTGAGAACCCAGGGGTTGCTGGTCAGTTCCTGGTTGGGGGTGTGCGAGAGGCAGCTGGTTGATGTTTCTCTCGCTGTCTTTCTTCTTCCTTTCCCATCTCTCTAAAAATAAATAAAATATTTTTAAAAATTATTGAGAATCCTAAAAAGTTTTTATTTTGTAAATTATAACTAGTGATACAGTGTTAGAAATTTTAAATATTGCTCATTTTTAGATTCATCTAAAAATAACAGTAATAAATCCATTGCATGTTAATACATATTTTAATAATGACTTTTTAAAAATAAATTTTAGTGAGAAGTGTGGCATTGTTTCACATCTTTGCAAATATTATTTAATGTCCAGCTAATAGGAGACAGCTGGATTCTGACTTCTGCTTCTGCCTTCAGGCTGTGGCGATGTCACACGTCATGGAGCCTCTGGGTAACTCCAGGGTGCTTCCTGGGGGAGTGAGATGGGCAGTTAAAGTGGCCCCCACAGACCCCCCCGAAACAGGGAATCCCTGGAGCACATTTAGAGAGCACTTGCTTTAGATCAGTGATTTTTTTTAACCTTTTTCATCTCATGGCACACAAACTAATTACTAAAATTCTGCAGTACACCAAAAACATTTATTTCTTGCCGCCCTGACAAAATAAAGAATTGCTATAATTTTGATTGGTTCATACCAGATAGCTGTTGTTGTGTTGGCTGTTGTCATTTTTTAATTAGATAATCTAAGGGAAAAGAGGTCAGTGCCTTCACTAAATAGTCAATTATTGCACGTTTTAAAAATTCTTGTGGCACACACTGGCTGAAGATCGCTGTTTTAGACCAATAAACTAGCATACAATCTGGGTGTACTCCTTGATTTGAAAGAATATTCAGTGCCTAAGTATTGCTTTCTTAGAAACATGACTAATTTAAGAGGAAGGTTTGTCAGTGAGGGAGTTTTGTACAAAGTTCCTTTAATATGTTTTTTAAGAAACTTGGAAAAGCCCTAGTGGGTTTTTAGGTACTCCTTTAGACAGGGAACTAAAACATTTTTAAAAACTTGTGTGGTTTTAAGGCCTATGGGATTCTCTTTGTACAGAGTATGTTTCAGTCAGTTAAGTTGTTTTACTCACCGCATTCCTCTTCCATTATTTTGCAGATCTAGCTGAAGCTTCTTTAGAAAGTACTCCCTGACAAGCTCATCTGTTTAATGTGTTGCCTTTGCTCTGAACTCGGGCACTTAGGTGTTGGCCTTTGTATAACTACCTTCTTATATGTTGTATTATTCATTTCTTGTAATTTGTTCCTTCTGTTAGCTGGAGAATCCAGGTCAAGAGACATTATCCTGTGTCTTTTTTATGCCCTCAATATGCATAGCCTCAATTTTTTTTAATAATGAATTAGATTTTTTAAATGTTTGTTAATAACAGCCAATGTACCTTCTGCCTCACAATATATTCCACAACACTTTTCTAACAAATGATATTGTCTGGTCCACGTGAATAGAAACTATGACTTTTTTCATTCCCTTGGATATAACCAAATCGTGTATGCTAATGACCTAATAGTCACCATTAAGTTGGAATTGTGCCTGATTTTTATTTTTTTGCTGTCATATGCTGGTTAAAATCTTAGTACATCAAACATGAATGTTAAAAGTTTACTTGGATGTGACAACTTATAAAGAGAATTTACAGTATCCTGGATTGTTGGATTTCCCAAGAATTGGAGCACATTGTCTACTTTTTTCAACTGAGAGGTCTGATGTTTTGTTGTGTTTACATACATAGTTTAATACAATTCTGCTATTATCTTGCCAGCTGTGGATTTCTTCAACCAAATCAACATGTTATATGGAACTATCACAGAATTCTGCACTGAAGCAAGCTGTCCAGTCATGTCTGCAGGTCCAAGGTACATATTACCCCTTTTTATGTAGGTGTGTGGACTACTAAATAAAGCTAACCACTAACTGATAGAAATTAAATAATGCTTTTTTGTTTTTTTTGTCTGCTTGTGTTAAAGCAGTTCAGTTTTATGAGTTCTTAAATACCTATAAGCTTTTAGTTATTATTAAATACTTTACCATTTGGTATTTAGTGTTTGGTTTTGTAATTGCATTATAGTAAGGTGAATGTTGAATTGGAGGAATAACAGAAAAAAATTAGAATTTTATTAACATTATGGTTCTGTTTCTAGTTTTTAAGTTAATTTCTTGAAATCAAGTTTGCTTGTTTATTTGTTTAAGATTTTATTTATTTTTCGAGAGAGAAGAAGGGAGGGGGAAAAGAAACATCAGTGTGTGGTTGCCTCTTGAGTGCCCCCAACTGGGGACCTGGCCTGCAACCTAGGCATGTGCCTAGGTTCACAGTCCTTTGGTTCACAGGGCAGTGCTCAATCCACTGAGCAACACCAGCCAAAGCAAAATCAAGTTTTTGGTTGACTCTTTCATATTTGATTCTTTTTTCTTGTACTTATTTGGTGTTAATTACTTCCAAATTGTGCTGCTTTAGTTATCTGACTTAAAGATACTAGGTTTTAAAATTTCACCTATAATAAATTTCAAAAAATATTGAGAAAGAGATGGAACTCTTTGTTACTCATAATTTTTCAAAGTGTGATAACGTATGATTTAAGTGTTTCCTTCCAGTCTTTTCACTATAGTACATGCTGTTATGTGATGATAGATTATATCAAGATATTTATTTACCTCTTGGGAAATAACTGTCTTGGGAAAAAACTGTCTTTTCTAAATTTGCTACAGGTATAAAGGATAAATAGGTCCCCAATGAGTTCATAGTCATATTTTTATTACAGTATTTTAGGGGGAATGTTTTGATTTTGTGTTAAGTTTTAGCTCTCAAGCTTCCTTAAAAGAAATTTAAATAAAATAAATAGGAAAATTAAACTTATCTATGGCTTCAGTGCTTTACACAGTGAAGTTTTGTGTAAGCCTTGTTAATCATTCTAGCTCTGCAAAGGTGAGGGTGCAAAAAATGCATACTCAAGGATGTTTTCTGTAATACCCTCTCCAAGAAACAGGGTTTTATAATCTTGACCTATTGGTGATAACCTGGTGGCCAAGGATCTCAGAATGTGGTGATTCATCAGCTCCGTCCCCAGTCCTCAGTACCCTCTGCCTAACAGACAGGAAGGAAATTATTTTATTTTTCCCAGGGCTGTTCTATATTCTGGACCTGCCAGCTGTCACATTATCTTCTCTTCTTCTTTCAATCATAGCTGTCACATTTCAGAATAATTTTATAGGAAACTCTCAGTAATCTTCAATAGAAATTTAAGTAATTTACTAAAGATAGTATATAACTTCTGCTCTAGCTGGTATGTGGCTCAGTGGTTGAGTGTTGCTCTGCAAATCAAAGTGTCGCCAGTTTGATTCCCAGTCAGGGCACATGCCTGAGCTGAGGGCCAGGTCCCCAGTAGGGGGCATGGGAGAGGCAACCACACATTAATGTTTCTTTCCCTCTCTTCCTGCCTTCTGCTCTCTCTAAAAATAAATAAATAAATCTTTTAAAAAAAGATATATATATAACTTCTGTTGACAAAGTGTAAACCTACTTTGATTATAATTTACACATTTGTTAATGTGAAAACTTTATCAGTAATACCTTTTCCTCTTCAGATATGAATATCATTGGGCAGATGGTACTAATATTAAAAAGCCAATCAAATGTTCTGCACCAAAATACATTGACTACTTGATGACTTGGGTTCAAGATCAACTTGATGATGAAACTCTTTTTCCTTCTAAGATTGGTGAGTTAATGTTGTAGAACTATTTTTCTTTTTAAATGATAAATGTGTGCTTTTTAACACTCTATTACTTTTTAAAAAAAAGTGACAGGGACTACCACATTTCTCTCTCAAAGGATTATTAATGTATACTCCTTCCAGACATGTTTTTGTCTGTTTCTTTACTAATACTTATTGTTAATCATTTTTTAATTTTTATAATACGGGTAAGTAAATTTGTTTTAAGCTACATTTTTAAGATATTGATGAGTGCCAGGGTCCAGCCTTCGCAGGGTTCAGGGTTCCTGAAGGATGGACGGCGCAAGTGACAAATGAAGAGTCAGACATGGGTGTCTAAATGCCGGAGAACAGCCAGCCTCTGTGGGTCTGACCAAACTCTCAGAGTTTGATTTAGACTTTATTTTTATAGAGATGGTTACATAACATTAAAGGAACAGGTGCATGGTGTGATCAGTTAAGCAGAAAAAACCAATACAGAGGTAACTAGGAAAAGTACGAGAATTTGCATAGTTTCAGTTATGTTAAACAAAGGTTGTTTTGACCAGGAGAGTCATTAATCAGACAATTTGAAATAGCTCTATGTGTAGAGTTTGAATGTCTTATTGTTTATTAGTTCTTAGAATTTGGCATGGGGCAAAAGGGTATGCTAGACTGAGCAGAGGTTATAGGAAATTTATTATAAGGCCTTTGTGATGTCTAATGTAGCTATCTTTCTGTCTGAAATGTTTCTTTGTGTAATATGGACTCTGACTCCTTGGTAATTGTTTCTACGTGCTTCGTTTGTAATAGCTAACCAGCTTCTTCTGTTTCTTTGCCTGTCTACTTCTAATTATACATATTCCTGTCCAAGGTAGGGGAGGGGCTGTTACTCCATCAACGTTTAGATATTCGGGGGCTACTTCATTAGGAGGGACTTTGTTCTCTGGCCAAGAAATTATTTTGTACAACTTCATTGGAATTATGCGGATCATTGACCCTGAGATGCAGGTGTCTAAAACTCCCACCACCTATTAATCACAAAGACAAACATGCAAGGAGAGAGAGACCGGAAATCCAGCCACAGCTGCCTCTGCTGTGCAGATGCATCTCATCCGTCCCAGTTGTGTCAAGGGACGGCTGCTGGTCGGCTCCCAACAGATGAGATTGAGCATTTTATTGTTTTACTAATTGTTGTGTATTTTTTTTCTATCCTTTCCTCATTCCTTTGTATGTTAAGGCTATTAGCTTTTTATCATAAATGTATGTGTTTTTCCCCAGGTTGGTTGCCTTTTGTCTTATTGTATTCATGAAGTGTTTTTGCTATTGCTATTATATATATATAACTTTCTTATTTTGTCTTATTAATTTTTTCTTTAATGACATCTGGGTTTTAGAGAATTAGGGAAGGAGAAAGAGAAGGAGAGAAACATCAGTGTGTGGTTGCCTCTTGCATGCCCCCTACTGGGGACCTGGCCCACAACCCAGGCATGTGCCCTGACTGGGAATCGAACTGGTGACCCTTTGGTTTCCAGGCCTGTGCTCAGTCTGCTGGGCTACACCAGCCAGGGCTTTACACCTGGATTTAATCAATGATTAGAAAGGGTTCCCCTACTTCACTATTATAAAAATATTTGTGTTTTCTTTTCTTTTTTTTATTTTTTTATTGATTATGCTGTTACAGTTGTTCTATTCCCCCCCTTCATTCTTCTCCACCCTACCCCCCCTTTAGTTTATGACCATGTGTCTCAAGTCCTTTAGATTTTATATTTCCCATACTATTCTTGCCCCCCATCTATTTTCTATCTACTGTCTATGCTACTTATTTTCTGTACCTTCTCCCCCATTCTCCTCCTCCTACTCCCCTGTTGCTAACCCTCCTTAATTGAGTACTTTCGTGGTTTTGTTTTCACATTTAAATCTTTGTTCTGTCAGGAATTTTTTTCTCACTATTTCCTTTTTTTTTCCCCAATTATAAATGCTAGTCAGTTTGCCCAGTGCTGTTTATCAAATGCATGTGTGTTTTGTCCCCAGATTACCAAGTTTGCCACATAGTTTAGAGTCTTTTAATCTCTATGCATGCCCACAGAAATTCACACTGTGTTCATTAACCATGGCCACATAGCTGAACATCTTGTAGGGCTCTCTTCCTTGCTCTTCTTTTTCAGGATATTCATGACTATTTGGGGATATTTGTTCTTCCAAACAACTTAGAATCATTTGTTCAAGGTTAAAAAAAAAGCAAAACCCAAGTCTTTGTGAGATTTTTATTACCATTTCATTCAATTTGTAGATTAATATAGGATTCTTGTTCTCTTGACAATACTGAATTTGCCTATGCAAGAGCAAAGTATATTTCTTCATTTTTCACATCTCATGTTATTTTCTCTTGTAAAATTCTATACTTCTTGCTAATCCTTCAAGTTTCTTAAGTTTATTCCTACACATTTAATGTTTTTTTGTAGATAGTTGGTTTCCAATTGGTTAGTGTTTAATATGTAGAAAAGCTGTTGATTTTTATATAAATTTTATGATTGACCATCAGATTTCGAATGTTTCTGTTTTGGGTTGGTTTTCTCTCATTTAAAAAATATACATTTCTATTACATTAAAATAATAGTAATCTTGCCTCTTTTTGCTGATGTATACTTCTTGTGTAACTCTTACCTAATTGTACTTACCAACTAGTACTTCCAGAACAGTGCTGACTAATGGTGATAATGGCAGACATCCTTTCCTTGTTTCCCTTTATGAGTGCTTCCAGTATTTAGCATTGAGCAGGAATCTTTCATTTGGTTAGAGGTGTGTCAATTTTTTTTTGTTAGGTGTATGGTTGTAGAGTTTTATCAGATATTTTTCCAGTATGTGTGGTTGATAGCCATACAGTTTTCTCCATTATTTTTTTTCTCTGTTCTTGTGGAAGAGTATTTTTTATTTGCTGATATTTTGAGTAAAATTTTGGAATTAGTATTTATTGATGGGATTGATCCTTGTCATTTTTAGTGTAAGGGTGTCTGTCTTATGAACAACATATTGTTGGCTTCTGTCTTGTCTGTTTGGGCTGCTGTAATAAAATGCCAGAGTGGGTGGCATATAAACAAATGAGAGAACTTTATTTCTTGAGGTTCTAAAGGGTGTAACTCTGCATTCAGGGTGCCAGCATGTTTGGGTTCTGCGGAAGGTTTACTGCTGGGCTGCAGATTGCCAGCCTCTTACCTTGTCCTCACATAGTGGAAGGGTAACCCTCTGGGACTTCTTTTTTTTTTTTAAATATATTTTATTGACGATGCTATTACAGTTGTCCCATTTTCACCCCTTTACTTCCCTCCACCCTGCACACCCCCTCCCACCCACATTCCCCCCATTTAGTTCATGTCCATGTGTCATACTTATAACTTTGGCTTCTACATTTCCCATACTATTCTTGCCCTCCCCCTGTCTATTTTGTACCTACTATCTACGCTACTTATTCTCTGTACCTTTTCCCCCTCTACTCCCCCTCCCACTCCCCTGTTGATAACCCTCTATGTGATCTCCATTTCTGTGATTCTGATCCTGTTCTACTTGTTTGCTTAGTTTGTTTTTCTTTTTTCTAAATTTTTAAATTTATCTTTAGAAGGGAAGGGAAGGAGAGAGGGGGAGAAATATCAATGTATGGTTGCTTCTTGTGCATCCCCTGCTGGGAGCTGGCCCCTGCTGGGAACTGGCCTGCAACCCAGGCATGTGACCTGAAGGGGAATCAAACCACAATCTTTCGGTTTGCAGGCCCGTGCTCAATCCACTGAGCTAAACCAGCCAGGGCCATGTTTTTCTTTTTGTTTTAGGTGTGGTTGTTAATAATTGGGAGTTTGCTGTCATTTTACTGTACATGTTTTTTACCTTCTTTTTCTTAGATAAGTTCCTTTAACGTTTTACATAATAAGGGCTGGATGATGAAGCACTTTATCTGCCCTTCCATTCTAAATGAAAGCTTTGCTGGATAGAGTCATCTTGGGTGTAGGTTCTTGCCTTTTATGACTTGGAATACTTCTTTCCAGCCCCTTCTTGCCTGCAAGGTCTCTTTTGAGAAATCAGCTGACAGTCAGATGGGCACTCCTTTGTAGGTGACTGTCTCCTTATCTCTTGCTGCTTCTAGGATTCTCTCCCTTCATTTTAATCTTGGCTAGTGTAATTATGATGTGCCTTGGTGTGTTCCTCCTTGGGTCCACCTTCTTTGGGACTCTCTGAGCTTTCTGGACTTCTCTGGAAGTCTGTTTCCTTTGCCAGATTGGAGAAGTTTTCCATCATTATTTGTTCAGATGACTTTTCCACTTGTTCTTCCTCTTCTCCTTCTGGTAACTGTATAATTTGGATGTTGGAACATTTAAAGATGTCCTGGAGATTCCTAAGCCTCTCCTTATTGTTTTGAATTCTCGTTTCTTCATTCTTTTCTCTTTGGTTATTTCTTTCTTTCTTCTGGTCCACTCCCTTGATTTGAGTCCCAGTTTTCTTCCCATCACTATTGGTTCCCTGTGCATTTTCCTTCATTCCACTTAGCATAGCTTTCATATGTTCCTCTAATTTGTGACCAAATTCAACCAGTTCTGTGAGCATCCTGATCACCAGTGTTTTGAACTGTGCATCTGATAGGTTGGCTATCTCTTCGTGGCTTAGTTGTATTTTTTCTGGAGCTTTGATCTGTTCTTTCGTTTGGGCCTTTTTTTTTTTTTGGTCTTGATGTGCTTGTTACATAGTGAGGGGTGGAACCTTAGGTGTTCACTAGGGCAGGACAACCCAGCTGGTTAGTCGCTGGAATGTGATGCTGTATGTGGGGGCGGGGTCTGAGAGGGAACAGTGGCACTTGCTCCGCTCTCTGCTGGATTTCAGTCACTTCCGCTGCTTCCCCCAAGCAAACTGGGTCCTTCTGGTGCTGATTCCCACATGGGTGGGCTTGTATACATTCTAGGACCCTGTGGGTCTCTCCAATGAACTTTTCTGTGAGGCTTGAGAGTCTCTCCCGGAACCTCAACCCCCACTGGTGTTTTCAGTTGGTGTTTTGAGGCTTTATTTCCCCATGCTGGGACCCTGGGTGGCGTGGTCTGTCTTGCTCCCCAGCTTCACCTGGCTTCTCTGCACACGAATGTGGGACCACCCAGTCCGCTAGCTGCCTTATGGGCCAAGCCCCTCCACAATCCGCCACCTGGCTGCGTCTGCCAGCTGCTGCTTTGCCACGAGTTCTCTCCACCAGGCCACCCAACTTCATCCCTCCTACCGGTCTGAATGAATGCTTCATCTTCAACTCCTTGGTTGTGGGACTTCCATACAGTTCAATTTTCTGTCAGTACTGGTTCTTTTTTTTATTCCAATTTTTTGTTTGTTTTTATTTTGGTTGTGCGAGAAGGCACAGTATATCTATCTGCCTACACCTCCATCTTGGCTGGAAGTCCTAGGACCTCTTTTTATAAGGGCATTAATCCCATTCAGAGTAGTCTGCCCTCATGATCTAGTCACCTCCCAAAAGCTCCGCCTACTAATGACACCACACAGGGGGGTTAGGATGTCCACATACGGATTTGGGGGAGTAGGGGGAGTGGAGGTGGGGTGCACATGGGTTGCTGACACATATATTCAGACCATAGCAGATTCCTTTTTGAAGTCTAATGAAAGATTTATTTTTCAGGAGAAAAAGTTGTATCATGTTACACTTGGACTGTTTGCTATTGGTCAGTTTTTTCATTCTATTATTAAGCATTTTATTTCCTTTTTCATAGATTCGATGTTGTATATTTACTGTAATTGAAATTTTTGTTAAATTCAGCTTGGAAGGTACTTAGATTAAAACAAATTATATTTCTTTATTCATTAAAGTTTTTTCTCTTATGGAAGATACAGAATACTTTTGACTTAATTCTCTTTTCTCAGCTTCCCATTCATCAATGATTTATTCTACTGTTCTAGAATTCTTTCTGCTCTCATTAAGCTGTTGTCTACATCTTACTTATGTCAATTATATATTCATATTAGGTGAAATTTATTCATTTTTAAAATAGATATCCAAGTTATTACTGTTCCTTTTATTAGCAAGATGCCCATTTGTAAATCCTGAGAGAAAAGGAGTTTAACATAACAATCCATCTTTTCACTACACAAATACAAGCCCCATTTCACAAAAACATGCCCATGAACTCCAGAATAATGTTTGAAAGAGCAAATTGTTAACCAGGACTGGGGAGAGGAGGGATCCCTCACAAAAATCAGTTTATGAAAGCAAAATATACTAAATTTCAAGCTATGAAGGACTAACTGAGAAGTAAAATGTAGGAAAAGAGAAAGTGTTTTATCTTTTGGCCTCTGAAAGATTAAAGAAAGAAAATGTTTTAAGAGTAATGTTGTAGAACAGACCTTTAAGGGCAGCTAATCTAGGTTATTTTGGAAGTAGATACATTCATTCTTACGTGTTTATTCACTGCACTTAGTGTCAGTTGTATTGTTTTTCTTCTCTCCCTACCTTCTAACTGACCAAAGTTCTCAGGAAGTAACCAGTTGCATCCCTACCTGCACTGCTCAGAGAGACATTACCAGCCCCAGTTCTTTCTAAGGAGGTGTTTACTTTCTTCGAAAAATAGGGACATGCTCTTCTTCCCTTTTTAGGAAGTCTGTCCCCCTCTTAAACTACAGAAAAATGAAAATAGCAATTTAAAAAAATAAAACAAAAAGTTTGTAACTTCTCGTTTAAGAAAACCATCTCTTCAGAGTAATTCAGAAGATAAACTATTTGTAAACAGTAGATTATGATGATGTGAAGAGTGCCTTTTTTTTCTTTTGGTTAGGAGAGTTTCCAGTCCTAGTTGAGTGTGTACAATATTTTTTTTAGAGTTACAGGTTACACAAAGTAAAAATTTCTGTTTACAGTCAAAATGCCTATTCTTGCATTTAATCTTAGGAAGAAACTCTTCTATGTTAAACAGCTAAAATTAGTTTTATTTTAACTTTGATTCAGTAGCATCTTATATATAACTTCTGGTACCTGTGCCTGCTATTCTAAGACAGTCAGAAAAAGTGTGGTATGTGAATATGTCTCTTATACTTAGGTTTGGGATTCTTTTTCCCTTGTCTTTTAAAAAATATATGGCAGTAGACTTGTATTTGTGAATGTGAGTTTGTTGAAGTTGCTCATGGCTGTATTTAAACTTTCCACAGTTCAGTTGATGAAGACTAATGAATATATATGTATATTTGACATTATATATTTATGTTACAGGTGTCCCATTTCCCAAAAACTTTATGTCTGTGGCAAAGACCATTCTAAAGCGTCTCTTCAGGGTGTATGCCCACATTTATCACCAGCACTTTGATTCCGTGATGCAGCTGCAAGAGGAGGCTCACCTCAACACCTCCTTTAAGCACTTTATTTTCTTTGTTCAGGTAAATTGAACCATGTTGATTTCTGTGTCCTTTGGCTTGGACATACTTAGCTTGGTAACTTTTAATAAAGAGCAATTTATTGCTATAAATAGAGTCTTATTTATAGACATAAAGGTAAGTTTAAGCAGGATTCTCTTTTCTCTTTGCCACATTGTTTTATTTCCTTGATGTGCATAGCGGCATAGAAAGCATCGCCTCCGCCTCCATTTTTGGCCTTCCGCCTCTGACTGCCCAGGTCTCTGGGTAGGATATGACAGAACACCAGAAATTCAGGCAAGCTTGTCCATACCCTTCTGTTCCGCCACTGCTGGGTAGAGGGACACTATGAAAAATGTCTGAAGTTGGATTGTTTCCTGAGATGTTTATGCCTGAAAGAGAGACTTGGAAGAACTTGTTTACCTGCTGTCTTGGGTTCAGTTTTCAAAAGTCCCCCCTAAGGCCAAATCTTATGATGACAGCAGCTAGAAACTTTAAAAAAGCCTACCGCCTTCAGAAATGTGATTTGTTTCCTTATGGGCTCTTGGTTGGAATTGAAACTTTTAAAGTATCACTACAATTCACATTGTTTGAAAAGGATATCAAGGATTGGTGCCTCTTTAGCCTTACTTTATAGATATATAATTCTGTTGGGTTGGCCAAAAAGTCTGTTACATTTATTCTGCAAAATAAAAGACACGTTTTTTCATTTTCACCAATAACTTTATTGATTAGGACATTTTGAGTATGTTGGCTCTCTTCTGCTATTGACTTCCAGTAGGTAGAGGCCAGGGGTGCTGCTAAACTAATCTTCCAATACATAAGAGCCCCACAGCAAAGAATCATTTGGCCAAAATGTCAACAGTACCAAGAAACTTTGCAAACTACTCATTGTGTTGGATCAGTCACAGCAACTTTTCCATACACTGCACAAATCTTTTCTTGCATTTCAGTTGCACTTTTACCGTTCTTGAAATAAAGGATAATACACTAAAAATGTTGTGTGTCTTCTTCTATCTTCAATTTAAATGACTGCATAAAAATGCACCAGTTTTGCCAAGTTGCTTTTTTTTAATGTACCCTGATATGACAGCTGTCACAGTACAATCTAACAACTGTTTCAAATGAAATTAAAGACAACTGAGGGCTACTGGAGCCTTTATACAGAAAAACATAATGGATTTTTTGGCTAACCCAATATAACTGGCTAACCCAATATAACTAATGAAAGATTTATTTTCATTGTTTACAAACTGTAAACATGTCTAGATATTATTTTTTGTGGAAAAACCATAACTTTGTAGTAGATGTTGAGTATTACAATGCTGTGAATCACACCAAGGAGATCGTCCTGTGTGCTCTTGTCTGTTTTCCTTCCGAGAGTGTTGCTGGCGTAGACCCCCCAGTGCAGCCGCAGCTGTAGGTGCTTGAAGGGGAAAGGTCTGCTGCCCCAGAGGTGGCCACCGCCAAAGATTCGCTCTAGTTTTCAGATGATTTCTGTGTAAATGCGGACACACTTAGCTTTGATTTTAATGTTTTACACAGTGAACATCATGCTGTTATGTACAGTTGCTTCTTTAGTAAGTCCCCTATATTTTAAAAGGGAGTAAAAAATGGTCACAGAGACCATTTCATCATTCTTTTGGATTTCAGAAAACTAGGGTTGGCAATATCTTCTCTGAATGACATTTACATAGTTTTAATTTTAGATCTATTTTAAAATTTTATTTTTCTTCTCTTTCTAGGAGTTTAATCTGATTGATAGGCGTGAGTTGGCACCTCTTCAGGAATTAATTGAAAAGCTTGGATCAAAAGACAGATAAATGTTTCTCCTAGAGCACAGTTACCCTCTTGCTTCATCTACTGTTAGAGCTATCTCATTGCTATCTGTTAGAGACTAATGATGCAGACTTCCTGAAAACATGATAAAAAGACCTATTGTCTGTGTCTACTGATAAAATTGTCCCAAAGGTAGGTTGGCCTAATACCGGCAGAGTGAGAAATTCAGGACACAGCTGAATCTGAAGCACTGTGTGACCACTCCTGTTACTGTCACTGAGTCACATTTGGTTTTAATATGTGGTGATTAATCTGCAGTTTTACTGAAGAAAATGATTTCGTCCATTTCAGGTTATAGCATAATGGATACTAAGAATTTCCACCAATAATTTATTAGTAGGTTTCCACAAAAAACTTCCTCAAAACTCAGATTAGTTTTATTATGCTTTTATTTTACAAATAGAAGAGGCATTTTCAAGTTTCCTTAAGATATGTAACATTTGTGTCCCTTTGAATAACATCGTAGCTTGAAGTTGTATGCTGGTGTTTTTATCGATAATGCAAATATGTATATTTTTTCAAAGTCCATGATTGTGATTTAAATCATTATGATATGTATGGGAGTAACCACAGTTATTTCTAAAATGACTTTATTTTTTAATCTGTTGGGGATTTTGTTCACATGAACCTATCTAAAATGTTTAGGGGTGTGCATCAGAATTAATTTTTTTAAGCATCTAAGGATGGTCTTGTAGATTTTTAAAAAACATTCAGATTAATTTGAATGTGTATCTTTTGCTTGGAAAAAACGAACTTCCAAAAAATTATGACAAATTTAGGTCTCAAACCACTATTTTCATTCACGTTGTCTTTCAGAGGCCTTGAGAATCTGGCTAGGAGAACGGAAGAAAGTACTCCACTGCTTTGTTTGGAGTTTCCTTTTTTAAATAATTACTTCTGTATGTTTTTATTGTGGCTTGAGACTTAGTGAAGAGTACTATAGAAATGCACCAACTTTATCCCAATAAGGATTAAACTTAAGGAAAACCACAATAAAAAGAACTTGAAAGGTATACACATTTTATAACACAGCTTAAAGTTTTATGTGTTACCTATTCTTGTGTGTGTGCATATGTGTGTGTGCACACGTTTAAATGAGACAACATGGGAGGAATAAGTAAAAAAATTTTTTTCATTCTGTTAATATCAGGATGAATTGAGCCCCCATAGGGGTTTTATCCTGTGTTGTTTTTGTATCAAAACTTGAAATTATTCTTTTTCTAATCAGATAAAAAGAATCCTGTTAATGAGGAACAGATCTGATTTTCATCAGGTTTTTAGGATTCAGCAAACACTGACAGTTTAAATACATTGCGGCCCAGGCACACTGAAGACTTGCCAGACTGGCATCACTTTAAGCTCATCATCCTGTTTCAGAGTTGTGTCTTTTGCAAAGTACTCGCCAATGTCTCAGTGGATTTGGCAAAAGTTAGTTTTGATAGGGTTTTTGTTGTTTATTTTTATTTTTCCGGACTAGAGCGTAAAGGAGAGAGTTCCTTAGAAATGCCACTTTTGCAATAACTCGGTTTCAGCAAATTATCAAATATATACAGAATTTTAAAGTAAACAAACATTTCATCTTATTAGGCTGAAATCATATGTCATTTCAGGAATAAAAAAGTGGGATAATCACTTACAAAAAAAAGAGAAAAGCCCTCTATAAGACATTTCATAATCCATGTTTTAAGTTTGTTCAAAGGTGCCCTGTCAGGTCGTCGGTATGTTCATGTTAATCATTTACAAACAAGAAAGCAGGTCTCTTAAGATGCCACTGAGAATGTTACTTCCTCTCTCATTGGCTTTAATTAAGCCTGCAAGGAATGAAATTAGATTTCTCAACCAGGGTTGTGCTTTCATTATCATCTCTAATATTCTCAAACAAAAGGGTTCTCGCTTTTCTCCATTTATTTTCAGTGATAGGAATCCTCCTTCTCTTCATGACCCAGCCCCAAATGAACCAAAGATAGGTCACGTTAGAATAGTATAAAGGCAGCTTACTAATGACACAAATAAAATTATGGTAATTTGAGACTCAGAATGTCCTTTTTAAAAAAATAAAAACATTGTCAGGTTCCCATGCTAATCTGGTTTAACCAACAATGCATCTGAACTTCAGTGTTAGCATTTGTTTACATCCAAAGCCAGGGAGGCAAGGGCAGGAGAGCTGGAGGAATGGGGAGAGGATGGCCCCTTCCAGACTGGAGGGCCAACTTTTGATGAGAGTTGGAAGAAATCAGCCTGACTCCTCTCTTGATGTATCCCCTGTGCCTGGGGTTTGCCCGTTTGACAACCGCCCTACCCTGACCTTCTTCATCACTAGTCATCTCTCAGTGTCTGCTCTGCTCCTCCTGCCTGGTGACAGTGGGGTGGAGAGTGCTTTGTAAATTATGCAGTTAATCCTTTGGTGCTTCTATTTCCAGGCCTTTAAAAAGACTTTTGGACAGTGATGTGCATACTAGTTTTTGTATTGATAGCCAAATGTATCCTTTATTCTTCTCCGGACTGATAAAAGTGATTTTAGGGGGCCACAAGCTAACACAGTATTTCCTTTGTAGACTTGGAGAGCTCTAGCTCCTGTGGCTCCTTGCTCAAGAAATGCAAATCAGTAGTCACATGACTCTGATAACAACGAAAGGAAACTGCCTCAGTGTGTGAGGTCAGAGGAACAGTCCCGGTGGTGATTTCAGCCTTTGCACAAATTGCTGAGGTTTCCTGACTATACTGTCGGCCTTTTCTCTGAGCAGTGAGGTTATGCTAGAAGTAGAGCTTCTAAACTTAACATTATTACCTCAGAAGCATAAATAAACCAGGCCCAAAGAGTGTATAAGTCCTAGAAATTTGTCTCCAAGCAGCCCCAGTCATGGCACTGGTGTTAACCTCTGTCTGGTTAGAAGAGGCCGCCTCTTGTCTGTAGCTAAAAAATGCTGGCTGGGCCATCACACCGAGCGCCTTCTACAGGGACATTACTTCCTCCTGATACCTGCTCATTAAGTGGATTTACTATTGTAGAATTCTGGGAAAATAGTAGTCCCTCAGTCTCCTGTCTTTTTGCATTATTTTGCTATTTCAGACTGTAAAAGACTGGGGGAATATTATATGTGATAGCAGTAATTTTATTGAAATAACTGCATTGAAATTCACTTGGGTTTTCTCTCATCAGATCCTATTCCAAACAAGTATTCTGTAAATCCAAATGGATTGCCAGTGTGCTATAGATTACAGAACATTCTGTGTTTGGTCTACATAGAAAAATAGCTTGCATAAGTTAGTCTTGGTTATCATCAAAATATTTTTAAATGTTCTTTACATGAAAATTTATGTTGTATTTTTAAACCTTTAGGGGCTTTATCTATTTTTCTAAGTCAGTTGACTGTACTTTACAAAAAGATATTTTGTATCTACTTTTGTAACTTCATCAGAATAAAATGTATTGAAAGAAATGACTAAAGTATGTGTCTCAGTACGCTTATTTGTGAAACTTGATAATTTTGCAGCTTCTGTACAAGGTTGTCTTTGCTTATCATTTAGTAGTTAGTTAAAATGTTTTCTTAACTCTTAGAAGAAAGGGTACAGTGGCTAAAACCCATCCCAGGGAAAAAAATTAGTCTCCAAGCTCTTGACCCCTTACACTTTCCCGGCCGTGAGATTGAGAAAAGGGAAGAGGAGAGACCAGACTCCTTCATTTTCTGACGTTGGAACTCAGTGCTCAGCAGTATCTGAAAGAAAACCCCCCTCCCCCCCAGAGAGTCATTTTTCAGTATTGGAGAAATATTAGAACTGATTTTAGGTCTATTCAAAATAGCAGTGCTGGAATTTTTTTGACGTTTTTTGAGTGAAGTTAAAATTAAAAACTTAATGTGGCTAAATAATAGGGGTTAACACTCATTACTTTTAAGATGAATATTACATCTTAAAGGCAATTGGATAGGTTTTTTATTAGTCCTAAAATTGACCACAAAAAATGTTTGTGTGGGTGTCTAATGGCTAAATTTGAATGTTATTTCAAGTAGTAGAATAACCCAAATAATCTTTGGAAGGGTCAGAGTCAGGCTTCAAAGCTTCACAACCAGAAATGATGTTCTAAACCATGTCTTGGGCCTCCTCTAAACCACTTGCTGCAGGGCTGACACTACTGCCTGCACTCCTATGGCTGACCAGTAGATGTCAGACTGTGGGATCCTCCCAAAAGCTACATGTGTGAGTCCTGACCAGAAGGAAGGATTTTAGCTGGTGTCTTTTGTGTGACTTCCTAATCAGAAACTGACGTGGATGCCTTTGATTGACAGTTCCTAGATCACATACCTCAGCCCTGGCTGTAAGAGACACTGGGGAAAAGTGTCTGGGTTTTACTTAAGGGTTCAGAGCTGATAGCAAAATTGTTTAAAAGATCTGGGTGGTCCAAAAGCTTGGACTGACTGCTGCTCTGTGAGCTTTTTGTTACTGTTCTGTGAGAAGATAAGGGGTTTTCACCAGAATTGTAAGTATCCAAGCACACTGTTCAGTTCACCTGACATTTTTTTGTGGCATGTTTGCTAAATGAAGGAAGTAAAATTGATTCAGATTCTGAGGTCAAGCCCCTTGTCTCATGGCTGAGTAGCACTTTGAATATCCCTTAAAGCAACCTACCTGTTTTAGGGGGAGTTCTTTAGTAAGCTCATTTAATCCTTATAGCAACCTGGGGAAGAGGTCGGCAATTGAGATGTATGTTAGAACTTTTTCACTGTTCTTCAGTGTCACGAAAACTCAGACTTCAAATAGCTAGTTCATAGTGAGGTAGGTCTGTTCCTCTAAGTGGCATTTTTAAAAATTCTGTGTGTTGGCAAATGCTAGGAGGCTCAGTAAAATGGCTGCAATTAGTTTTTTTTACTGATAAGGTATGAGAGATGTATTCAAATAGATCCCACCTAAGGTGTTTTCTGCAGTTAGTTCAGGTGTAAATGTAGCTATGAAAGCTGGGACAGGTCATGGACCCACACAAGTAAAGATAAGAGAATCTCAAGTTCAGGGGGAAAAAGTAAAATCCAGAAGAGACAGACCTGGGACTAAAGGTATTATAGTCCTTTAATGCCTTCGGGGAAAACTGGCTTTCTATTGACTTCTGTCATAAAATCATTCTTAAACTGTTAAATTGGAATTAATCTGGGAGACCAAGATTGGTGAGATTGTTCTACAAATTCTTTTCTGAAAAGATTCAGGTTCACAGTGGAACTAGAACTGTCAAGTCTCTATTGGTTCTGTTCAGTAATTACGGTGCGTGCACTTTCTGTCTCACACCATCCTGGGCCACTAATCATACGAATAAAACAAGATCCTGTCATGGAGCTTATAGGCCAGTGGGGGAAACACATAGTACTTACTAAAGGGCCATATGTGCAATAAAAGTTATAACACAAGTTGAGGGCCCTTAGTTTACTGAGGGGCAGTTAGAGGTGGCTTCCTGCAGAAGAGAAGGCTTGGGCTTGCTTAAAAGATGGGTAAATGATAACCAAATTTGCAGCATAGCTTGTACAGGGAAGTACAAGCAGTCATTACTAGTGAAGAATGGATTTCAGTTTGAAAGGAGGTAAGTCATATGAAAGAAGTAGGGCATTTGCCTGTAGGTGGTGGGAGGTATTTGCCTGTAGGTGAAGGGAGGTCTGAAGGATTCTAAGCAAATAATGAACAGAGTTTCATCTCAGATGGCTGTGCTGGCAGTGCAGAAATGGTGGGGGAGGGGACGAGGGCAGGTGTCAGCAGTCCAAGATAACAGATAATGTGAGCAATTGTTAAAAAACATGGGTCTCTTAGTTACAAGTGACAAACCAAATGTAAACAATAATATAAACAGAGACACTTTAAAAGGGAGCTGTTCCTGCCACACCAGAGGAACCGCCTTGCATGGCTTGTAACTCAAAACTTGGAGTATAACTTTTGGGTTGGGTCTAAGCAACTGTGTTCCCAACTGTTTGCAAAGATAACAAAAAGTTGTTATGACTACTGGACTGAAGATTAAAAACACTTTAAAAGTAACATCACTATGATATCTGCACCAATAGAGATGCTTTCCTTCTAATGATGTAATTGTTCTTTCCTTTCTCATACCCACCACCTCTGTTGCCTAATCAGAACATTATTTGTGGGCTTCTGCCCGAATTAATGGTTCCCAAATACCTATTCTTACTGATCTCAAATAAACACTTGTTTGCCTCTGATTTTGAAAGTTCTTTTTATTTTTAAGTTAACCAACTAAAATGATTAGTGCTCATATCTGGCACCACTGGCTTCCAGTTGCACAAGCAATTTCACATTTGTCTCCTCTCAGCTCTGCTTTCTTCTGTGTCTGCTTTCATTTCCAAAGTGGCTCTGCCCAGGGGGTTGTAAAGACTGCCGCCAGCAGGAGGCTTCCTACCAGTTTAGCAATGCAGCTGGAAACGATCTTTTTTTTAGTTCTATAAAACTCCCTAAACCATCTCATTGGGACCAACCCTAAACTAATTCCTGTGTCTTGTGGGCAGGACCTGGGTCTAGCGATCACGCCTCATCTGAACTACATGGTTTAAGTAGCGAAGGGGTGGTTCACCACTACACTAATAGATAAAATATTTTTGGCAGTTTTAATTATATCATTGACATTAGTGGGGAAAAAAAAACCTCTTTAATCCCTCAAGCATAATTTTTAAGCAGTCAACAAAAAATGTGAGAGGCTATTTACGGTAATTCAAAGAAGAATTCAGTGAGAGCCATGACCTAGGACTCACTCAATACTGGAATGAATGGGTATATTTAGCTGAGGATTTCAGAGAACTGTAGCTCTGACTGGTGTGGCTCAGTGGGTTGGGCGCCCTCCCGCAAACCCAAAGGTTGCCACTTGGTTCCGGGTCAGGGTTCATGCCTGAGTTGTGGGTCCACCCTCAGTTTGGGGTACACAAGAAGCAACCCATCCGATGTTTCTCTCGCACATTGATGTTTGTGCCTCTCTCTCTCTTTGACTCCCTCCCTTCCTCTCTCTAAAAATAAACTCTTTTAAAAAAGCACAAACAAATTCAAGGAGTTCATCATCACCAAGCCCTTATTATATGAAATGTTAAAGGGACTTATCTAAGAAAAAGAAGTTAAAGAAACATGAACAGTGAAAGGACAACAAACTCACAGTTATTAACAACCACACCTAAAACGAAAGCAAACTAAAAGGACAGCTAGATCAGGAGTGGAAACATAGAAATGAAGATATCAAGGAGGGTTAGCAATAGGGGAGTGGGAGGAGGAGAAGGGGAGAGAAGGTACAGAAAATAAGTATCATAGACAGTAGATAGAAAATAGAAGGGGGGGGCAAGAATAGCATGGGAAATATAGAATCTAAAGGACTTGAGACACATGGTCATAAACTAAAGGGGGGTAATGGTGGGGACGGGAGGGGGTAGGGTGGAGGGGAATGAAAGGGGGAATAGAACAACTGTAACAGCATAATCAACAAAAAAAATTTTTTTAAAAAGCACAAACACAACAACTGTATGTCTGACCAACCTGTCCATTTGAAACACTGAAGATTATTGCTTGGATAGGCGGAATTAAATAGGAAAAAGAGCTGGTAAAGGCTACAGGATATAACAGACCACGTACTGCACACAAATACAGCTAGAGAGGGAAAGAGCTTGGTAGAATTTTCCCCTTGACCTCTGTCTGATGTACTCCAGAGGCCATACAGTTTTTGCTGACAATCACACCTGGCGTCAGCTTCCACTACATTCTTGGGACTCCACGGCCTGTGGGGCCCACGCCTCTGGTGGGCCGTGTCATGCAGGCACTGTATACCAGGCAAGTCCAGAGCTGAGTCTGTCGCTCCGCTTCATGCCCAAACTGTCCCTCCTCCATCCATTTCGTTGTTCAAGCCAGACATCTGGGAGTCATCCCAGACATCTTTCTCACCCCCAACCCAGTCCTTGTATACCATTCACCTCTCAAATATCTCAATTAACTCCTCCCATCTCTGCTGTCGCTACTCTAGTTCAGCCTCGAGTCTCACTCATCTGGACTGAGAACCTCGGTCCTCGGCCCCAATTCCTGCCCCTCGCAGGAGCCACCCTGACCTTTCTAAAACGCGAACCTGAAAACGACATCCCTGCTCAAAGTTGTCCCGCGGTTCCGCTTTTCTGGAGGAAGAAAACCAAGCTCCTCAACTGAGAAGCCAGGTTGGGGGGGTGGTTAGGGAGTGGGCAGTGAAGTTGAGCCTAGGGCAGAGGGGCACTAGGCTGAAGGTGAGTCCGAACCGGGGGTACCTGAGTGGTGTTTCTAGGCTGAGGGCTAGGGACCTGCTGGTGGAACGAGGCTGGGGGGAGGTTGTCGAAGCGCCGTGTAAGCTGGGGTGGGGCCGCGGCCGCGGGAGGGCGGTGCTGCGTGTTCCAAGTGGCGCGTCCCTGGGGCACTGACCTGGCCTGGCGCTGGGGTGGGATGGGAGGCCCGCGGCCTCCGGGCGGCAGGGGGCGGCCTTGCCCACCGAGACGGCTTTCTGTCCCGGGCTCCGCGCCTTTTGGGAGACGCCGCGACCTCAGGTAGCGGGTGTTGTCAGCTGGGCATGGCGGCATGGAACCCGGCCGCGGCAGCGCTTTTGCTCCGCCGGACCCTCGGGGTGAGCACGCCCCGGGGCGGGGACTGCGGAGGGCCTGTGGGGCCGGGGCAGCGGGCTCCGAGTCATTTCTGTCATTCATTCATTCACTAGTTGGTTTGTTCATTCAGTGGGCCCGGAAAACCGGATTGGGAGAAGTGTCAGGCCCTGGTGCTCCAGGGGTCCTCCCGAGCCGGGTGGAGGTCGGCCGGGGGAAACAGACGCCTAGACAACCATAATACAGCCGGCACGGGCAGCCAGTGTTGATCTTGGGAGCTGAAGACATAGGCATCCTAGCCACCCTAGGGTCACAGCGTGGGTGCCGGGCAGTGTGATGGGGTTTGGACTGTGGGAGCGTGCTCCGGCCTCGTTGACCTTGGCCCGCCGAAAATCCCACGCACCCGGAGTCGAAGCCCAGCAGAGGGCACTCACTACGCGCTCTCCTAGTTTTCTCCCCGCCTTTCTGATTCACCCTTTCCTCATTTCATCCACTTCTTTCCCTTTCCTCTCTTATTCTGCCTTCTCCCCTGCTGGTCTTAGACCTGCCTCCAGGAAGAAGTTCTGCAGGTGGCTTTTTGAGTGGACCAGCGACGTCTGGGGATTGCCTGATTATAGGCCGCTGCCCACAGATCTGCTAAGATGAAGGACAGGCTTCTGCCAAGAAATCTGCAGTGCTAACAAACCCTTCCCCCCAACTCCTTAGTGTTACCCTTCTGCCTGCCACCTGATCATTCCCTCCCTCTGCCTCCGAAGCCACTTTCCTCAGAAGAGGCCCCACCCCACCCCACCCCCCATTTTTAACCAGGTCTACAACATCAAGTTTGTTTCCCTTCACAGAGTCTAAGTCCAAATCAGCTGCCTCCCATGCTTATTTGCCACCACTGAGTAGGCATGTCCTGAATTGTGGCTCTTCCCCTGCTCATTCATCCATCCACCCATCCATTTGTCACCCATGTCCGCTGAGGGCCTGCCTTGGGCGCAGCTCTGGAAGGCAGCAGTAACCCGACAGCCTCAGTCTTGGCCTTTCAGAGCTGTTGGTGAGAGAACCAGTGCCCAGGTCATTTTACAGGAGGTGCTCTGAGATTCTGTAACACAGGACCCTGCTCTGGGCCATCAGGAAAGGCTTAATGATGAGCTGGACCGATGGAGGGGAGGTACCTTTAGCACCAGCCCTTGATAAACAGTGCTGGTGTTTTCCTACCTGCCATCCTCCTCCAGTCAGAACCCAAGCTGGTGCTACTCCCATTTGGGCATCTTTCCTGACTAGCTTCAAAAGGCACTGCTTGGTGCAGGTTACTTTGACACCAAGATGCCTATGTCCAAAATCTTCAGCCTGACATTCAGGGCCTGCCATGCTGTTTTTAGTCTCCCTTTTCAGAAAAGTACCAACCCAATCAAGGGGCTGCTGACCTGATTTTCTGCTCTTCACCCCCTAAGGGTTGAGATATGTTCCCCTCAGAAGCACTGGCTCCCCGCGGTAGCCATTAGGGGTGGGGTGGAGGGCAGAAAATCAGGTCAGCAGCCCCTTGACTGGGTTGGTACTTTTCTGAAAAGGGAGACTAAAAACAGTGGTTGCCAATGGTAAGCAATCTAAAAATATTTCTCCTTCATGTCATTTAATAGAATTCTGCTGCTTCTCTTGAGTGAGAATTTGTTCATGTAGCAAAGGGTTGCTGGCTTATTGAGCAGTAGGTCACAAGGTCATATCCCACTGCAGAGACTGGAATGTTAATCAGACCTAAAGGGTGGGGGGTACTTGGCCCCATCACTGAGTGTATGGTCAGGTACATGTAGGGTTAGCAGGGCCCAGCTGCCTGGCCTCTCCCCGCTCTGCATTTCCCTAATGGATCCAGCCTTGGGCATATTACTTAATGCCTGTTTTCTCACCTATAAAACTGGCATCACGATAGTATCTCACGGCATTATCATGACAAGTTAAACATCTATTAAGTTGGGTTTGGAGCCTTGTCTCTAGAGTCACAGTGAGTTATTTACAATCACTCCTACCTCCACCCCAAGAAAGTTTATTCTGCATCCTGTGGACCTTAAGTGGGCATCTGACACCACACTACTCCTGACACTACCCCAATGACACTGGGGGCAGCGTCATCTTGCTCAGCCATGACTCCTCTCTTCCGGGGCAGATTCCTCTTCTTCACTGTGCCCAGCGGATGTTTGCCTCGCAGACTGAGGGGGAGCTCAAAGTAACCCAAATTCTCAAAAAAAACTTTCCTCAAGCTACAACCATCAAAGTCACTGACATTTCAGGTAAGCTTTTCTTTCATCTTCTCACAGAGTGTGGTAGGATTTTGCCTTTTGGAGGGGCAGAGGACAGGGTTGGGGGACGGCTTAGAGGGAATTTGATCACTTCTCAGTATACGTGGCTTTTGGGCAGATGTGGATACATCTGTGGGGATACAGATACATCAAGGGAAACTGTGGGGACCAGGTCCCTCTCAGTCACCCCTTGGCTCTGGTCCACTGTCTTTCATTTGAATGTGACGTGGGCTTTGTGGAAATTTCCCCACATTCTTCTGATACCCTTGACTGTCAGACCTGGAGTGGACCCCAGGAGGAGTTTGTCCCTTTGAGGAAAGTAACTGCCTCACTTTTCCCACGAGATGAGCCCAGGGAGGCTGAGGAACCTTACCCAGTCCCTCGCAGGGAGGAGGCGACAGAACTGGAACCAGGACCCAGGGCAGACTCTGCCCCAACCAGACCCTGCCTTTCTCAGATGGCCCCTGGCACCTCGCAGCTCAGGCTGGCTGTGTGTTAGGAGAGGGCTGAGCAATCACCTTCTGCACCCACAGGACAGGGAGGATAGGGCACTTTTTCAAGACACACCCATGGGCAGTGGGTGTGCCCTTGACCGCCCACACCCAGATGTGGCTTTGCCACTCTGCTTTGCCACAATGCTGGCTCACAGGTTTTTCTGAGGACATAACATTTATAAGGATTGAGAGAAAGTATTTTTTTTGACCTGGCCAGTAGCTCAGTTAAGTGTTGTCCTGATAACACTTAACCAATGCCAATCTATGCCAAGGCTGTGGGTTCAATCCCTGGTCAGGGCACATAACAAGAATCGACCAATGAACACGTAGATAAATGGAACAAATCAATGTTTCCCTCTCCCCCCCACTCCCCCTGTTCCTCTCTTAAAAATCAATAATAATTTTTTAAAAAGGATACCCTTGTTGGTGTGGCTCAGTTGGTTGGAGTGTCATCTCATAACTAAAATGTTGCAGGTTCAATTCCCTGTCAGGGCACAACCTGGGTTGCAGATTCTGTCCCTGGTTTGGACGAGTGTGGGAGGCAACTCTCAATGCCCCTCTCTCCCTCTCTCCTTTCCTCTCTCTAAAAAGTAATGACGTGGGACTGCTCTGGTGTGGTCCCCCAGCACCACTACCTCTTTGTTCTTTGTACTTCATGTTTTAAAAAAGCTTTCCAGGACCAGTCAAGATGGAGGCATAGGTAAATACATCTCGCCTTCTTGCACATCTATAGCAGAAATTACAACTAGACTACAAAACAAATTTCACCGAGAATTGTCAGAAATTTGAGCTACAAGGAAGTCCAACAACCAAGGATTTAAAGAAGCCCCGTTGATCCATACGGGTCGGAGGGTGGAGACGGAGATGTGCGGAGAGGTGTGGCAAGGTGGGGAGGTACGGATACACGGAGTGGCACAGAGTTGCGGACGTAGGCCGCATCCATGTGTGGTGGGTAAAAATAGAGAGGGACACCTCAGGAGTGAGGGATCCCAGCTCCAGACCAGACCACCCAGCCCCGGGTTCCAGCACCAAGAAGCTAACACCCCATAAGTACTGGCTCTGTAAAAACCAGTGGGATTTGGGCAGTGGAAGAAACTGCAGGATTCTCAAGAGACTCTTCTTAAAGGGCCCTCATTGGACTTAGGACTCTTGCAGACCTATCCTCTCTGGAATTCAGCAACAGGGCAAGTGCTGGGAGACAGCTTCCTCCTGGGCAAAACTGCAGAGGCCAGGCAGTGGCATTGTCCCCTTGTGAGCCCTCCCCCACACATGGGGTGATAGAGCAGTGACACAGGCTGCCTTGCCCTGGTGATTACCTAAGGCTCTGTCCCATACAACTCACAGGTGCGCTTTTCTACAATAGGCTACACTACTAAGACAGAGTCAAAGCAGATCTACCAACTTTCAGCCAAAATGGAGGTGTAGGTAGATACACTGTGTCTTCTCACACAACCAAAAGGACAACAACAAATTTAAAAGAAAAAAAAACCAGAACAGACAGAAAATCAAACTGTATGGAAGTCTGACAACCAGAGAGTTAAAGAAAAAACATTCATCCAGATCAGTAGGAGGGGCAGAGATAGGCAGCCAGGTGGAGAGGACTCACCGCAAGGCGGAAGCTGGCAGGCAAGGAGGTGGCTGACGGACCTGGCATGGCAGCAGCTAGCGCACTGGGCAGTTCCACGTTTGTGTGCAGATAAACCAGGAGGAACAACTGGGGAGCAAGACAGTCCGCATAACCCAGGGTTCTAGCATGGGGAAATAAAGCCTCAAACCTCTGATTGAAAACACCTGTGCGGGTTGAGGTGGGAGCGGGAGAAACTCCCAGCATCACAGGAGACTTCATTGGAGAGGCCCCCAGGGTCCTAGAACATACACAAACCCACCCACCTGGGAATCAGTACCAGAAGGGCCCAATTTGATTGTGGGTAGCTGAGGTAGTGACTGAAAACTGTCAGAGGGTGGAGCAAGTGCCATTGTTCCCTCTCGGACCTGTCCCCCACATACAGCATCACAACGCAGTGACGTGGGTTGCCCGCCCTGGTGAATACCTAAAGCTCTGCCCCTCACTATGTAACAGGTGTGCCAAGACCCCCCCCCAAAAAAAAATGCTCAAACAGAAGAACAGATCAAAGCCCCAGAGCCAATACTTTTAAGGGGCCAAGAGATAGCCAACCTATCAGATGCACAATTCAAAACACGTGATCAGGATGCTCACAGAATTGGTTGATTTTGGTCGCAAATTAGATGGAAAAAATGAAGGCTATGCTAAGTGAAATGAAGGAATGTGCACAGGGAACCAATAGCGATGGGAAGAAAACTGGGACTCAAATCAATGGAGTGGACTAGAAGGAAGAAAGAAACAACCAAACAGAAAAGAATGAACAAACAAGAATTTAAAAAAAAATGAGGAGAGGCTTAGGAACCTCCAGGACATTTTTAAATGTTCCAATATTCCAAATTATAGGGGTACCAGAAGGGGAAGAGGAAGAACAACAAGTGGAAAAGTTATTTCAACAGAGGAGAACTTCCCCAATCTGGCAAAGGAAACAGACTTCCAGGAAATCCAGGAAGCTCAGAGAGTCCCAAAGAAGATGGACTCAAGGAGGAACACACCAAGGCACATCATAATGACATTACCCAAGATTAAAGATAAGGAGAGAACTTAAAAGCAGCAAGAGACAAGGAGGTGGTTACCTACAAAGGAGTTCCCATCTGACTGTCAGCAGATTTCTCAAAAGAGACCTACAGGCAAGAAGGGCTGGAAAGAAGTATTCAAAGTCATGAAAGGCAAGGACCTACATCCAAGATTGCTCTATCCAAATGGAAGGGCAGATAAAGTGCTTCCCAAATAAGGTCGAGTTCAAGGAGTTCATCATCATCCAGCCCTTATTATATGAAATGTAAAAGGGACTTATTTAAGAAAAAGAAGGTAAAAAATATGAACAGTGAAATGACAACAAACTCACAATTATTAACAACCACACCTAAAACAAAAAGAAAAAGAAACTAAGCAACCCACTAGAACAGGAACAGAACCACAGAAATGGAGATCACATGGAGGGTTATCAGTGGGGGAGTGAGGGGGGGAAAGAGGGGGAAAAGGTACAGAGAATAAGTAGCATAGATGGTAGGTAGAAAATAGGCAGGGGGAAGTTAAGAACACTATGGGAAATGGAGAAGCCAAAAAACTTATATGCATGGCCCATGGGCGTGAACTAAGAGGTGCAGGGATTGTCGGAGAGAATGGGGGTACATGGTGGAGGGGGACAAAAGGGGGAAAATTGGGACAACTGTAAAAACATAATCAATAAAATATATTTTAAAATAAAATAAAAAGCAATGAAAAAATGTCCTTGGATGAGAATTAAAGAAAAAAAGTTTTTATTCTGAAAACTAGACAAAATCAGTCAATCTAAAGATCCTTTGGAACGGTAGGTGGGGTGAGCACTCAGAGCAATGCTGGGGCCTGGATGTTACTAGGCCTGTACCTGCCTCCGGGCCCAAGTTGGGCGGAGTTGGAACTTGGCTTCCTGTCTGACTCTTCCCAGCCATGGACTGAATACAGAAAGGGAACTGAGGCTGGGAACCTGGTTTAACCAAAGCTTGGCTTCCTAGAACTCATACGAGGAACATAACGGAGCACTGGCCTGGGGTTAGCAGCACAGGGGATATTCTTTCTTGCCCAGGTCATTTCACACTAGAGCAGCAGGTTTCTCATTAGTCATCTCACCAGCTCTCCTGCCATGTGGAGACAAAGCTTGGTCAGGGGGCAGATGAGTCCACCCCAACCTCTGTCTCCCTGCAGAAACCCTGGATGAAGCACGCAGGGCTGTTTCTAGAGCAGGAGGTGCTGGGAGAGCCCAGCCCCCCCGGGACGCATGTGTCTGCGGTTTTTAGTGTGATGCTATGTCCCTGTCTCTCTCACACTTCCTTGTTCCTTTCTTTGCTTTCTGATAGTATTACACAATTTTCAGACCAAATTTTTGTGTATTTTTTTAAAAAGATTTCATTGGGGGGTGGGGTGGGATGGGAGAAATAGATAAAAAAAAATGTACTTGAAAAGTAACTAAATACAATTTAATATTTTAAAAAAAAAGATTTCATTTATTGATTTTTAGGGAAGGGAGGGAGAAAGAGAGGGAGAGAAACCTCAATGTGTGGTTGCCTCTCGTGCGCCCCTTACCAGGGACCTGGCCCACAATCTAGGCCTGTGCTCTAACTGGGACTCAAACTGGCAGCCCTTTGGTTCACAGGTTGGCACTCAATCCACTGAGCCACACCAGCCATGGCTTGTCTATTTCTGTACTTTAAAAGATTGCTAGTATTTTTTGAAGGTGGAACACTGAAATTCAGTCCCTCCCACCCTCCTCCGTGGCATTTGTTGTCTTAATGAAAGGAAATACTAGGAAAACCTACATTTGCTGTTTTCCATACTTTGTTCCTTATCTTTCCTATCTCACAAGTAATAATCCTGGGAGGTGCAACTGCCTTGCACAAGGAGGAACACTCTCTGGATGCGGGCAGCCTGCCAGGGGGAGTGTGTGGCCAGGCCGTAAGCCATGACCTTTTTCTAACAGTCTTAGCAACTTTCTGCTGATTGGTAGTATTTAGAGCTTCTGGAGGTGATATGGGACTTCACGGACATGTGGGCCTGTGGGTACCCTAACTTAATAATTGAAATGCTTTCAAATTGCATTTATTTCAGGAGGCTGTGGGGCAATGTATGAAATTCAAATTGAATCAGAAGAATTTAAGGAGAAGAGGACTGTCCAGCAGCACCAGATGGTAAACCAGGTGAGTAGAGGCAAACATGCTCCTCTGCCCCCTCCGTCCGGAAGGGCCTGCTGAGTGGCAATGGCATTTTACTTGCAGTCCTGGGCAAGCATCATGCGGTACTGCAGCTACGCAAATGGGGCTTAGGACCTGAGAAAAACAGTCCGGAATGCGATTGTGGGCAAATATGACATGACTTTTATTCAAAATTGAGAACAAGTGTAAGAGTACTAAAAGATGTATTTTTGTAGATTTGAGTATGTTTTTAGCCTCTCTTTAGGACTGCTTTACAGATGGGTAAATTGAGGCCCAGCATGGTTGAGAATTGTCCCAGCTGCCCCAGACCCACTGACAGACAGTAGGGGTCGGAAACATTAGATTTAACCACACGAGGCCAAGTTTATTTATTATCTATGCTTATTTTCCTTGGAATTAATAGTGGTCTTGACATCATTCTAGAAGATTTTGAACATTGTGAACTAGTTTAACTTTTGCAAAGCACAGTTTTGGTCATGAGATTCCCTCTGTGACCCCTTATGCATCAAGTTCAGGTGTACAGGTTGCTGTTGAGGCCTTCCCCGCCTGCCTTGGCACGCACCCTCCCTTAGCCCCTGCCCCTTGGTCTCTGTGCATCCGGATCTTTGCCCAGATCAGACCTCTTGCAGGGTGCCCTTCCTCTCTGCCCAGCTCAATTGCCGCCTCCCTACCTGCTTGGCAGGCATAAATGCCTTCCTCCCTCTGACTCCAGCATTTTCTGCCTCGAATCCTGGACACTTCTGTCCCTTGGCCCTATCACCCCTGTGTGGGATGGGCCCTTCTGAATCTCTGTTTGGATCATTGCGGAGCCCAACTCTTCACTTTGCCTGTGGGCACCAATGGCCCGAAGGTGTGCTGGTGGTCAGGGCGGTCTGGGGTGGAAGAGCAGCCACTTCGCTCCTCCAGACTGGCCCCTGCTTGATGGCCCGTGGGGGGTAGGGGGGCAGGGGGCGGGCCCTGCCACCCTCAGTAGTGAGCTCACTGTCCCTCTGGGACCTCACTGGCTTGTGGCCCAGCCTCTCCCAGATCCCACAGTTCATCAGCCTTCTCTTCTGAAATAGTCACTGGCATTTGCTTTGGGCCAGGCCCCAGGGATGCCAGGATGACCGGCGTTTCTTCCCCATCCATCCTATTCCCATCCTGGGGAGCAGCTATAGGGAGAGGAGTAAGCACCAACTTGGCCCTCTGCTCCTCAGCGGGACCCGAGCCTCCGTTCTTCTTTGGCAAAGATCTCATGAGGTATTGACCACAGGTGCCCAGCCTCATGCTGGCATGTGGAAGGCACTTGGTAAATAATTGCCCTCTTCCCTTCTTGGTCTCTTTCCTGTCTGGTGCCCATCACCTCCCTCCCTCCCCCTCCAAGGGCGCCTCTGTCTGTGTCTCCCCAGCTCAGAGCTCTTCAGTGTGCATGCAGCCTGTCTTAGCCTGCCCTCTTGTGCACCTAACTTGAAGCCAGGCTTTTCCTGGTGAATTGTGATGTGTTCCCATCCTTTTCTCACCTTGCACTCCTGGGCCTGATGCCCTGTCCCTTTCTGTCCATTCCACTCCCAGCTGCCAGCTCCTGGGCTGCCTCCTCTGCAGATGATGGCCAGTGCAGTAGCAGACACTCCCTCTTGGGAACAGCCACTGCAGTCCTGAGCTGGCTGGGGGTCTGGCAGCGGCTGTCACCACCATTTCTGGTGCATTTGTATTACTTCCCTTCCCTTTCTCATCGTTTTCCCAAGACTTTTTATTTGTGCCCCCAGCTTCCAGAATAATGCTGTGGGCATAGCGGTTGCTGAAAAATGTTTACCCAAGCTCCATCTTATAAACTGTGGGACTTTGGCCAATTTATTTTCCCTCCAGGGCCTCAGTTTTCTCAACTGTAAACTGACCCAGAGGCCCTCTGTAGCTGTAAGATCTGTGAATTGTGCTGGGGAGCCCTGAGAGGGCTGCCAGAGAGCTGGGAGAAGGTGTCACTTAGGGCACAAGGGGTCAAGGCTTTTGTGTGAAGATGTGACTGCACCCTCACCTAGCCATGCAGGCTTCAGGGATTGTAGCCTTGACCTAGACACAGGGACAGCCTCTAGGAAGCATTCTGTGCCTGCAGAAAGCAGAGAGCATGTGGCCCAGGGAGCTGTGTGCCTTTCCCCCAGAGATGACGTGAGGTTCTCTCTGGGGGCATTTCTGCTTGTCTGTAGAGTTGAGGAGGCTTGGATGTGAGCATGGAGAGGGTGGGGCAGCTCACTGGCTCCCAACACAACAGCAGCTCCCAGCATCAGAGCTGGACAGGAACCCAAAGGAGACACATGGCCAGGACATCAGGATATCCAGGTTCAGGTCTTATCTGTTAGTCACTTGCTGACTTTGGACAAGAGGTAAACTCTCTATTTCTTTTTTAGCTAAGAAGAGGAGAGGACTAGGTTATCTCTCTTTATTAGATAAACCTGACCACATGTGTTTGGATTCTTTTACTTGTAAGTGACAGAGAGCAGGTTAAAACTAACATAAGCAAACAAAGGGAATGAATTGGCCCCTTTGTTATCTGGTTTCTAGCATATCTAGATTCAGAGTCTTAAACAAGTTCATTTGCTTGCACTTTTTCCTATCCTCTCTAAACTTTTGCCTTCTGTGTATCAGCTTCATTTTCTCCTCCTGGAGATGGGCTTTTGGTTCTTGGTGGGCAGTGTGGCCCCCAGCTGCCTCCAATTGACATTATTCCAATATAGTGACCCATGAGAGAAGTCACTATTCTAAAAAATCCCAGGGGAGATTTCGATTGGCCCATTTTGGATCATGTGCCACACCTGCACCAGTCAGGCTGGGCCAAGGCTCCCTCAATACTGGGCCGGTTGATAGTCCCACCAGCAGTACACAGTTAAAGGAACATTCCCCAGGAGAAAAGAGATTGTTGGACAGAATGGAAGAAAAATGTCCACCCCACTGTGATGATCAGATTTGGATCTGATGTAAAGGACTTTGAGTCTCCCTCTGCGCTGATTACTAACTCCAGTGGTCCGTGCCTCCCTTGGGTCCTGTAGCTCCTCTCTTGGCACAGCAGAGAAATGATGTCCATCTGACTGTGGTGCTCATTCAGGTTTGTGCCCTGACACTGTTTGTAGCCTTAAACAAGTCTTATAATTATTTTCCAACTTTATTTTTTAAAGTAAAATTGGGTCATTTGTGCTAAATAGTGTGGATTTAAAGAATAGCTGTTTGTTGTTCAAAACAGCAAAGCATGCAAAACAGCCTCAGAGTTCATCATTAGGGGTGGCCTGAAAGGTTATGACCGATCCATACAGTGGGACACTGTGCTGACGCAAACAAGGACGGGGCTCTTTATGCCTGACACAGAAGGGTCTCCAGTGGTTGGGGTTGGGGGGCGCAAAGTGTGGAACACTATGTTTAAAGTGCTGCCATTTTTATTTTTGAAAGGTAGTGTGAGGTAGACTATATATTCATATGAGCTTGAATATGCATTTTAAAATCCTTGCAAAGACACAGAAACCAGCGGCAGTTCTCTGTTTGGGGGTGGGGGTGGGGGTGGAGGACAGGTGTGGTGGGGAGACGTCACTGTGACTTTCTGTGCCTTTTTTACTTTCCAGCCAGGTTAGATGCTGATTCAAAAACTAATTTAAATATATTGTTTTCCAAAAATGGGAAAACTGCTTAAACAAAATGTGTGTGCAAAGTCTTCTACAGGTATAGAGCTATATAAAGATACTTTCAGAGGGACTTGTTATAATCAGTGTCAAATACAAAAGAAATGATGGTGCTCTTTTACTTATTTAGGCCCTGAAAGAGGAAATCAAAGGAATGCATGGATTGCGGATATTTACCTCTGTCCCCAAACGCTGACCGTGCCTCGGCTGCAGAGATACTGCTGCTTACAACCTTGGATGAACTTGACCAATGTTTCCTAGGCATTTGCCAAAAGATTTATTATGTTCATAGACATTGCCATATTATAATTATCAAGAATATGTTATCTATTTAGATGTTAATTAAAAGCAACAGACATCTGAGTCTTTCGAAGAGTCATTAGTAATGCTTCTAGTTCCTTTATTTCAGAAGCAATGTCCTTTTGTCCACAGTGGTCTCATCTTGGACAGTCCCATTCTGCTGCAGAATGGAGGCAGAATGGAGTGCTAGCTACTTTTGTCTTATCACGAGACTTCCTTATCCAGGCCCCTTAATCTTACCAAAGAGAAAAGAAAGGATCCTTTGGTTTTTCTGTTCCCATAGTTTACCACTGTCTTTCCTTTCCTCTCTGCACTTCTTACAAGATGGTGTTGCACCCTTGGTTTCTTACTCCCTGGAGTGGTCTGAGGATGTGGGACTGCCTGGATCATGGTCTTTCTCCTGTGTTTGAAGACCCCCCACCCTTTGCACCTTGGTGGGAAGTGGGGCCCACCTCCCCCCAACAGCAGCTGAAACATCTTGCTTTTCTAAAAGCTCCCTTGAAAGTAAGGCACAGGCAGAGATGGTCTAGTCCCATCCAATCAGACAGATCTGCCCTGGACTTAGAACTGGGAGAAGTGACGCCAAGAAGCACGGGCAGTGGTGCACTGATTCTGGCAGTGATAGAAAACTGACACCCTCGTGCATCCCTGGGAGCACTGGGGCATTTCGCCTACTGAAGTGAGGGTTGAAGGGCCAAGCTGCAGAAAGGACAGGTACAGCTAAATGTCAGGAACAGTGATGCCACCAGGCCTCTGTGTCTCTTGTCTGCTGCTCTCTGGCTCAGCATTATTACCTCTCATTGTGTACTGACTTCCACCATGTAGCTGTGATTGTCAGTAGCTCTTAATTTTTGTATATATTTTAAATTGTATTGTTCAATTACAGTTTACATTCAGCATTATTTTGTATTAGTTCAGGTGTATACTATAGTGGTTAGACGATCATACACTTTACAAAGTGTGCTTTGATATTTCCAGTACATACCTGACACCAAATATTAATTTACTTATCTTAATGTCCAGGCCATGAGAAGGGCATACTTTCCTTCCAAGTTCCAGTTCAAAGAATGCCAGGAAAGGCCTCTGGTCCGCCCCTCTTGAATCAGAAGCCACCCTGGACTAATCGACTGGCGTTTAGGAGATGTGCAGTCACTGCAGCCTCTCTCCACTGGAATGAAGGGAGGGGCAGTTGCCAAAAGAAGTAAGGCTTCTGTTCTCCAAAGAAGAGTCTGGAACAAAGCAACAGGTGTTCTCGACTGGAGAAAAGATGATGTGGCCTAGCAAGCCTCCTAGGAGTCTGGGGCCACCTGGGAAACTGGTACTCTCCCCTCTGCTTCACCCCAACCCCTCTCCAGGGGACTCGGCAGGCCCACCGAAATGTGGCAATCCTGTCAGTTCTGCATGTCTGCACCCAAGTCTGGCAACAAGAAGACTTTAAAGTGCCCCCCCGCCCAAGCTGTTCTTCCCCCAAAATTAAAAGGAAAGTTGGAAGAAGAATCAGTGTTTCTTTTTAGTCGATTAAGAAAGAAATTGTTCATCATAGTAGCCAGAGTATAACATTGCATCTGATACAGCCAACTCCTAGCTTTTTGATTAAGTGCTCTTGTGGAAACTGCTGAACTATGAAAGATGATATATTTTCTGAGCTAAGCGTCTTTAAAAACAGTGTACGGTTTTCCAGTGGAAAATTCAGAGTCCTGAGGTAGGTGCTTGCTGACTAGGCAAGTCAGTCTAAGGGGAACTGCCCCGGCCACAGCTCTCCCTCAGGCCCACTTCCTTCCATGGGTTCCTGCAAGGCCCCTCTCACCCCTGACTAGACCACCCAGCTAGCAGTCATGGGGCAGGCTGGCCTGCAAGCTGGGAGAGGACCTGGGGCCGCCATGCCCCACCAGACACATCTGGTGGCAAGGAGTCAATAGATCCTATTCCCTTTCTTGGGGATCCAAACTGAAAAGGGTGACCCAGGGATAGCCAGGCCACAGACCTTCTGAGGGCCAGTGCAGAGCTCAGGGCAAACAAAGCTGGACATTCAAATCAGGAAAATGGAGGGAATCAACAGGTAAGGAGAAGCAAAGAGCTGCCTGGGAGATGTCATGAGGGGTACTCCAATGAGGTCTGCCCAGTGCACCCGCTTGTCCTTCCAGGGAGCTGCAGCACATGTGGCAGTTTGCCTGCTCACCTTTACCTACCACCTGTCTGGGGGACCTGCCCAGACTCCCTTGGTTCCACAGGGTAAAGTGTGGGAGAGCACCACTGCCAGCTGAGTCCCCCGACCTCACCTGGGCAAAAACAGGCCTGCTGATCTGTGGTACCCACTTTGACCAGCTCCTGGGAGCATCTGAAGCAGAGCAGGCCCGGTTCCCCCCTCCGCCTACCACGTTTCTCCCCAGAGCTTTTTCCAGAAGACTCTAAGACAGTGCATATCCGAACCTCTTGGCCTGTGGCAGCAGAGCTGGCTTTCTCTACCTGCGCGTGTCTTAACCCCAAGCCACACCACACCTCTTAGAACACTTCCCCTGGGACCCGCCAGAGGGGGCTCAACTTGCCGAATGATCTGGACTTTTGACACCTTTTATGTTTGCCTTTATCTAATAAAGCTGGCAGGATTAATTATAGTCAGGCACCTCATTTCAGGATATTGATCTTATAGGTTGTGTTAAGATACCATGTTACTGTGCACTTTTATGCACTTTATGCACTTTTTTAAAATAAATTTATTTATTTTTTTTGAATTGATTATGCTGTTACAGTTGTTCTATTCCCCCCTTCATTCCCCTCCACCCTGCCCCCCCCAACCCCACCATTACCCCCCTTTAGTTTATGTCCATGTGTCTCAAGTCCTTTAGGTTCTATATTTCCCATACTATTCTTGCCCCCCCCCCATCTATTTTCTATCTACTGTCTATGCTACTTGTTTTCTGTACCTTCTCCCCCTGTCTCCTCCTCCCACTCCCCTGTTGCTAACCCTCCTTGAGATCTTCATTTCTATGTTTCCACTCCTGATCTAGCTGTCCTTTTAGTTTGCTTTCGTTTTAGGTGTGGTTGTTAATAACTGTGAGTTTGTTGTCCTTTCACTGTTCATGTTTCTTTAACTTCTTTTTCTTAGATAAGTCCCTTTAACATTTCATATAATAAGGGCTTGGTGATGATGAACTCCTTGAATTTGGTCTTATCTGAGAAGCACCTTATCTGTCCTTCCGTTCTAAATGAAAGTTTTGCTGGGTAGAGCAATCTTGGTTGTAGGTCTTTAGATTTCATGACTTGGAATATTTCTTTCCAGCCCCTTCTTGCCTGTAAGGTCTCTTTTGAGAAATCTGCTGACAGCCTGATGGGGACTCCTTTGTAGGTGATTGTCCCCTTACCTCTTGCTGCTTCCAGGATTCTTTCCTTCATTTTAATTTTGGCTAATGTAATTATGATATGCCTTGGTGTGTTTCTTCTTGAGTCCAACTTTTTTGGTACTCTCTGAGCTTCTTGGATTTCTTGGAAGTCTATTTCCTTTGCCAGATTGGGGAAATTTTCTTTTATTATTTGTTCAAATAGTTTTTCCACTGGTGGTTGTGTCTTTCCCCCTTCTGGTACCCCTATAATTCGGATATTGGAGCGTTTATAGATGTTCTGGAGGTTCCTAAGCTTCTCCTCATTTTTCTGAATTCTTATTTCTTCATTCCTTTCTGTTTGATGATTTTTTTCTTCTTCCTTCTGGTCCACTCCATTGATTTGAGTCCCAGTTTTTTTTTCATCTCTATGGTTTTCCTGTGGAATTCCATTCATTTCCCTTAATTTAGCCTTCATATGTTTCTCTAATTTGTGGCTATAGTCCACCAGATCTGTGAGGAAGCTGATGACCAGTGTTTTAAACTGTGCGTCTGAGAGATTTGCTATTTCTTCGTCACTTAGATTTATCTCTGGGGCTTTGAGGTCTCCCTGCGACATTTTTGGTCTGTTCTGGCCCTTTAAGTGGGAGGAACGGCGCCTTGGATTCCCAGGTCGCTGGGTTGTGACGCTGTATGTGGGGGCGTGGTCAGAGCGGGGAAATGGCGCCACTGCTGCAGCCGCTGCCGGTCCAAGCGCTCACTCCCTCACCCGCGCGCAACCAGGCAACCACAGTCAACTCGCTGCCACCGCCTCCCCACTGACTCCTCCGTAGTCGCTCACCCGGTGGGCCGCTCAGTCGCTCACTAGGTCCAATCCTGGGTTTGGAACCCGTGCGACTGGATTCTCGCGTCTGGATTCCTCGCCCGGGTCCGACCGAGCCCTCCTTTGCAACTCCTCACCCGACGCCGGTTTCGCCCCTTACCGGTCGGGCCGAAGAATTTGTTGTTAGCGGACTTCCGAAAAGTTCAGTTTTCCGTGTTCTGGTTGTGTTTTCTGATGCTAATATTTAGTTGTCCCTAAACTTGGTTGTGTGAGGAGGCACGGCACATCCACCTAAACCTCCATCTTGGCGGAAGTCCTGCACTTTAATTTTTTTTGAGACAGATACAACATTTTTTGGAGAAGCAGATGAAAAGGTACAGTTAAAAGATGCCACACACATTCTTTTTTTTTTTTTTGAGGGGGTGTGTGGAGAAGGGAGGGAGAAAGAGAGGGAGAGAAACAGCCACTGAGAAAGAGAGACATAGATCGGTTGCCTTCCGTAAACGCCCAGGCCTGGACTGAACCAGCAACCCAGGCATGTGCCCTGACCTGGAATCAAACTGGCGACCTTTGGGTTCACTGACATCACCCAACCAACTAAGCCAAGCTGGCTAGGGTGCTAGACATACTCTTTTAGAATAAGAATAAAAAGAGACAAACACAGTGACCTTCACTCAAATGCATGGATTCAGAACCCAAGTGTCTACACCTGGTCAAGTGTGCCACCCAGCAAGACTCCCCAGCAGCCACGAAAACAAAAGGTTGTTAGGGAGCAGAAAAAGCATCTAAACAAATGGATGAAAGAGTAAAAAGTTTAAACAACTGAAGTTCAAATAATAACTTTAGTTTTTAATCTTATAAGCTATTTTTAGAACAGTTTATATAACTTTCTGTAACTTTTTGGAAGTTTTAGATTGACAGAAAATTGAGAAGATGGTATAGAATTCCTCTACACTCCATACCTAGTTTCCCCTGTTAAAGGCCTATTCTACTTCCCTGGCCAGTGTGGCTCAGTTGGTTGGGCCACAAAGTGAAAGGTCTCCAGTTTGATTCTCCATCAGGGAACATGCCTGGGTTGTACGTTTGGTCCCCAGCCGGGCGAGGGGGAGCCATGGGAGGATGTTTCTCTCCTCTTTCTCTCTTCCCTTCTCTCTTATGAATAAATAGCTGAATAAATAAAGGCAACTTACACTACCATGGTACTTTTGTTAACAATTAATGAGTGCTGACACAGTATTGTGAATTAAAGCCTGTTGTTTTGTTTATTCTGATTTCCTTAGTTTTCCCCTAATGTCTTCTGCCAGGTCTCTCCTCTACAATACCATATTACATTAGTAGTCATGGTTCCTTAGGCTCCTCTTGGCCATGACGGTTTCTCAAGATGTCCTGAATTTGGATGACTCTTTAACTGTTAAGTAGCAGGACATAAAAATACATTCTCTATGGACGTGTTCAACAGAAAGCACTCTTTAAAAAAATCAAGACCACGGAAGAAGTCACAATCCAGTCAGCCAATGGAAAGTTACGCTATCCTAAAACATTTTGGTAAACTTTAAATAATCACATCTTAGACACCACACCAAAGAAGTGCATTGGCGTTATTAAAAATCAAACAACTGCCTGGGTTATGGACACCATGAAATGGCAGTTTTCCTCCAACAGGATGAGCATCAAGGGGGCATTGGCTGGAGAGCTTCAGTAGATTTATAAACAAGGTTAGGAAGAAAAGGCTTCTACACATGCGTTTTTGACCCAGGAGTGTGTTACTATCAACCTGTAAAATAAAGGGAAAAAACTTCATACGCAAGTGGAAATTTTGCTTCTTTTATTTAACAGAGAAATGTTGGAAGAAAACAAATACTTTGGGTGGAAATGGAAATTCCTGATGCTTTGGAAATTGTTTCAGTACTTTTGCTAGTACTTCAGACATTGACTAGAAGAACTAAAACTACGAAATGTCTTAAACTGTTTAGTCAATGTTCCACATCTTCATCTGTTCTCCATGCTGAGACTTATGACTTAAAATAATGATTATAAATTTGTGCACACAACCCTGCCCCATGCACACTCCTTGCTCAATAACAAACCAACTGAACTATTTTCTGAATCAAATTTGTGCAAGTCTGAAGAAAAAAGTTGAGAGAGCAGGATGTTTTTGAAGGCAGGTTTTCAGAAGCTACTGTTGACTCTCTCTATTCTAGGCTCTTGGGGAGTTTAGTTTGCTTTCCTCTGACAGTTAATAGTTTGAAAATTAGTTCATCATCTGACATAGGAAGGTCAGATTTTATTTTATTTTTTAAAAATATTTTATTTATTTCTCTTTAGAGAGAGGGAAAGG